AAGCCATACCCCTCTATTAAATTATTTCATTGTCCTTATGGCTATTGTTGTAAGTGATGTCATCTACAGCTGCACGCTGTGTGGCTGAACAGAGCCCTCCGTCCAGGGCCGGATTAACATAGGGGCTGATGGAGCTGCAGCTCCAGGCCCAGGCCCATGGAATAGGCCCATTTTTTTTTACACACTACTCTTAGGTTTGCCACCTGACTGGTATTTTAATGGCACAGACGGTATTTGAGGCTGCCTGGCCCTGCCAGTATTGCAGTAATACCAGCAATACAAATGCAGGTAATTTTCTCAGAATAAATGGAAATTACTCTGCAATACCAGCACCGGCCAGTAGGGGTCACTGTGTGTGGAGAGAGGCAGGGATAGGAAGTTACAGAATATCCCTGCCTCTCTACTACTCACTGATCCGTGGGGGAGCAGCTACACAGCACAGGGAGTCCAGACAGCAGCTCTACAGCTCAGGTAAGTGAGGGATCGGGGGAAAGGCAGCAGGGACACATGGGGACACTGAGACACTAGGGGACACATTGGGGAAACTGAGACACTAGGGGACACATGGGGACACATACACTAGGGGACACTGAGACATTAGGGGACACATGGGGACCCTTAGACACTAGGGAACACAGACACTAGGGGACACATGATGACACATACAGTAGGGGACACTGAGACACTAGGACACAGACCCTGGGAACACTGAGACACTTGGGGACACTGGAAAACATGGGGACACTGAGACACTTGGGGACATATGGGGACACTCTCACTAGGGGACACTGAGACACAAGGACACATGGGGACACAGACACTGGGAGACCTGGGGACACTGAGACACTAGGGGACGCTGAGACACATGGGGACGCTGAGACACATGGGGACATTGGGAGACATTGGGACATGGAGACACTATGTCCCCCAGCCAGTGTCCCTAGTGTATCAGTGTCCCCAAGTCTTCCAGTGTCTGTGTCCCATGTCTCTCAGTGTGCCTAGTGTCCCCATGTGTCCCAGTGTCCCCATGTCCATGTCCACAACTGTCTCCATGTCTCCCCAAGTGTCTGTCTCCCAGTATCCCCTAGTCTCCCAGTGTCCACTAGTCTCCCAGTGTCTGTGTCCCTAGTGTCTTAGTGTCCCCATGTTTCAGTGTCTCCATGTCTCCCAGTGTGTTCCTAGTGTCTCAGTGTGCCTGGTGTCCCCATGTCTCCCAGTGTCCCTATATGTCCCAGTGTCCACATGTCTATGTCCACAACTGTCCCCATGTCTCCCAGTGTCCCTAAGTGTCTGTCTCCCAGCCAGTGTCCCCTAGTCTCCCAGTGTCCCCTAGTCTCCCAGTGTCTGTGTTCCCATGTCTGTGTCCCTAGTGTCTTAGTGTCCCCAAATGTTTCAGTGTCCCCATGTCTCCCAGTGTCTGTGTCCCTAGTGTCTCAGTGTCCCCATTTCTCCCAGTTTCCCTAAATGTCTCAATGTCCCCGGGTCTCAGTGTCCCTGGGTCTCTCAGTGTCCCCAGTATCCTAGTGACATGGGGACACACTGAGACATTGGGACACTGGGAGAAATGGGGACACAGACACTGGGAGACTAGGGGACTGGGCAACACAGGGACACTGACACTGTGATAGATAGGGACACTGAGACACTGGGTGACTTGCGAGACTGAGACACTGGGAGACAGGGAGACACTGGGAGCAATCCATCTATACAGCAGAATCAAACTGTGAGTAGTTTGGTGATTTTATAGAATTTTCTCTGATGTCACTCCTTGTAATTTACATCATGTGATGTCACGCATAACTAATTATACAAATTATTAAGGCTGGTATTTTTTTCCAAGAAAGGTGGCAACCTTAACTACTCTTCACATACTCTTGCTTAAAGAAGCACTATAGGGTCAGGAACACAATCATGTATTTCTGACCCTATTATGTTAAAACCACCACCCTGGCCCCTTCTTGCCTCCCTAAATATAGTAAAATATTACTTGTATTAAATTCTGCAGCTGCTGGCTCAGAAGTGGTGGTCTGAGCAAATTACAATACTTCCCCATAGGAAGACTGTCAACTAGGAAGATCAGGTGCAGAGCCAGCACAAGTCCAACATAGCCCTGGCCAATCAGCATCTCCTCATAAAGATAAATTGAATCAATGCATCTCTATGAGGAAAGTTCAGTGTCTACATGAAGAGGGTGGAGACACTGAATGGCAGTGCTGCACACTAGGCAGTACTGCCCCAGGGAGCACGTCTAGCAGCCATCTAAGGAGCAGCCAGTGGAGTTATTTTTCTCTGTTTACTGCAAAAAGCCTGAATGGAATGATTCTACTTACCAGAACAAATACAATAAGCTGTAGTTGTTCTGGTGACTATAGTGTCCCTTTAAGTTTGGAAGCTTAAGAGGGATGTATTGGAACAAAACTTGTGTGCACTTGCTGACATTAAAGTTAGTTTAGGTAATGCAGATGTTGGTCTCTCTAACACTGTGGCATGTCCCCTTTCTTCTACACTCACTACAGACATCTTTTCTCTGTCTCAGACTATATACCAGGAACTTCTGCCTGCTAGTAAAAAGGTAAGGAGACAAGTGGACCAGCGAGTGCTATGGGACAGTCCTTTGAAAGAATGGAATGAGCGCATCATTAGACGCATTTATGTCAAGCTCAAGGTGCTGCCTGCATAGTATGCCCTTAGTTGGACAGCCTGCAGGATTGGCAGGCAGCCTGACATGCATTCATGCCAGGCTGACCTTCCAATTCTTTGGACAAACGTTCCCCTTTTTGGGCATGTTCACCCCTTTTGGCAGGTCTTGTCACGTGACACCCTTTTACCCCGCCCATTGACTTCCTGCTTCACTGGACACTGCTGTTAGGGGTTATGGATTTACTTGAAAGATGAAATCATAAATTAGAGAGGGATTAGCATAGAGTATGTGTTTTCTTATAGCTGCATCCTATGAGTTTCCCTCCAGCACCATCTCTATCAGATACATGACGCTTGGGAGGTATGATTGTTTTAGTGTTTTTGGTCAATAAGATTCCGTAATTAGGCCCATCATAATTGTCAGCACCAGGCCCACTGTGCTCTTAATCCGGCCCTGCCTCCGTCAATGGCTTTGTATGGATAGTTATGCCTTTGATTTGAAAGACAAACTATTAAACAGTAGAGTAGATCCATGTGAATGCTGCTTAGGTGCCAAAACCATACTATACGCCTGACAGAACTACTGTATGCTGGCAACCCCTCACTTAAATTTGTGAACACTTATTTTAAGTAAACTTAAAATACTTAGAACCTGTGTATTTGAATATTAGATGACAAAATACAGCCGCCACTGAGCATTGGTAGCCACAGATGCAGCTGTGAATGGCCAAGTACACGAGCTATAGTTATCATGATTAAATTATGAATATAGCACCAGGAAATTCTGTAGCACTGTACAATGGGTGGACTAACAGACACGTAATTGGAACCAGACAAATGGACGCACAGGAACAGAGGGGTTGAGGGCCCTGCTCAGTTCTGCGGTTTCATCATGTGTATATATCCATCTACCAATTACTTTATAAATTCCACATTTATACATTCCCCTTGGCTGCTTAGATGTAACAGGTAATGATTTGGTTAGGGGAAACCATCCTAACAAAACATTTAGTGACTACGAACATTGCTTTTGCGGTCTCTTAGTGTTGAAGCAAGTAGCTTTAGTGCCATCTAGTGGCCAATTTATGGTATAATTTTCCTGCAACAAACATAGCTGGAGGGAAACTAGTATAAATAAATACATGGAACTTTAAAAGTGGTGTCTGTACAAACTACACAGACATGACGGTATATAAAAAATAAAAAAAGTACAAAACAAACTGAGGCCCCTGTCTAGGTGCGGAGGTCTAGTCTTTACAGTCCTTTTATATAGACTACTAGCTAGATAGGTGAGCTTACAAAAAGCTAAAGCGAGCATGTCAAACTCACGGCCAACAAGAAATATCTTTGCGGCCCAGCAAGCTGCGAGTTTTACATGTTAAGGCAGAGTAGACACCTGCTCTCCCCACATTGCAAAATTTACCCGGCTGGGAGGAGGTCGCTGGCGGCAGCGAGGGAACTGAGTCCGTTCTTCCTGCTCCTCACTGCTTCCTCGTGCGGTAGTGATGCCGGGTGCTGGAATATGATGTCATTCGGGCCGGTATCTTAACTGCCTATCTGTGAGTGTGTGTCTGTCAGTGAGTAAAAGAAGAAAATGTGCTCTGTGCAATATATAAGGAGCTTAATGGTAAATACACATCACATATAGGTATAAAGCAGCTCAACACACGTGTAAATACCCCAGATTTACACAAATAGACATGCCAAGAAAAGTGAACCCGGTGGAACAAACCACCAAAAAGAAAGACTCACTCAGTGGAGCGCTAGTATATAAAATACACTTAACCCCACTATATACTGAGGGTGTCTAAAATGACAATGTTCTCCCACTTGAGGGGATATATGATATTTTTTTCTGTTTTAGAGAATACTGTTAACACAAAATAGTGTAGTATATCAATGGGACCAAAATATGATGTACAGGAAATATTGACCATAATTCACATAGTATAGAGCCCTATAAGAATAGGCCTCAGAAGCAGGGGTATATTAGGTCATACCAAACCCTCTCCGAATTCTTGACCCAGTGGTTCTCAGATATGGAGACTAAATGCCCTAGTGCAAAATTGTTGAGGTAAAAATATATCCAAAGTGTCAGTGCAAAAAACTGCTCACCTTTAGTAGAGGCAATTATACTAGGCGTGTGTGTCTTTAAGGGAGGCACTACCCTTATACAGCAGCAGGAAACAGTAAAGGTCCACTGGACTGGTAATCACATAAAATAACACTTTATTAACAACACACAAATAGAAATAAAATCTTATATAAGTAATACCAGTCCCAAATATCTGATGTGGAGTGGACCCTCCTCTCTCTCTCTCTCCGGACGCGTTTCGCCGGTCGGATTTATCAATCGGAATGTCTGTTTCCTGTTAAAGTCTGTATTCATATAGCTGTATTTCTTATCGGATTGGTCGCCGTGCGCCTTCGGCAGCCAATCATAACGCTGGTAGTCAGGGGTGTGTATGGTTGCAGCTGTTACTCATAGCCCCTTCCCTTTCCGTATTTTATGAAGGGGCTAACATTTCCCTTAATTTAAATTTTCCAGTAAAATTTTTTTTCTTCTCTAAATTTCTCACTTTCAATGTGTAAAAAGAGGTGCAAAAGTATGCAGTTTCTTTAGGGAAAATGTTACCAGGTTTTCGGAGACAGGTAAGCAGCTCTCGTGATTTTCCTTTCTGTTTAAGGTATCAATGAAGAAAAAAAAAATCCAAAAAGGAAATAAAAGAAATTACATCCACAAGGAAACACTGTAAGCACTATAACCACCACACTATTTTAATACCATTTGAATTCCCACCTGGGATCCATGGTGAAGGGCTTAGCTCATTCTCATTAAGTTCATGTTCTCAGCCAGGAAGCTGGCTCAACTCTGGAGAGTTGGTAACTCTGGTATCTGAAAGGAGCGGCACCAGGCATACCACAGGTAATAATTTAATATGCAATAAAACTGGGATTCCTATCTTGCAAACAATTACAACTAGCAAGTCAAATCAAGCAGACGTATGCATGAAATAGTAACAAGATGTGATATTTATAAGGTGTTGGGGAACAAAAAGTGTACTAAGAATCTTTTCTTTGGTCTAAATACGGGGAATCATAGAGAAAATCTTGGCATAACTAGTTCTTTGTTCACTCCTCATGGCTCGGTTTCCGTTCAGGCACATATTACAATAAAAGTCATGTTAATATAAAGTTTTATTGCAAACTTATTACAGAAAATAAGACAACCCTTGGTTATTGCAAATTACATGTTATTCTCGCTCTCTCTTTATTTTTATTTTTTTTACAAAGCTAAAATATGATTGTTCATAGAAAAGAAAACAAGGATACAATGCTAACAAATTCCATCCTGATGCACAAGTATGGGAATGATTTGCAAGAAAAAGAAAGGCAAGTTCTATGGCTGGTAGTGTTCTGATGCATTAAATCTAATTCAATTAATATAACTTAGCTTTTCTTTGTCACCAAGTCCAAACACAAAATGCTGGTTTGACTAAAGTTTATTATAAGGTCATAAAATATATTTGTCTGTCAGGTTAATAGCTCTTCCCAAAAGGCCCGAAAGATAGAAAAAAAAAAAAATGTAAATGAAAGATAGAAAAATAGGTAGCACATGTACAATGGTATATTATGATAGTAAAAAAACAAAAAGAAAAAGAAATAAAAACAACACAACACATCACCCAGTTGTTAAAAGTTAATAGAACGCAGCACATTTTGCACTATCTAAAATAGAATACAGTCCATGTACAAAGGCATTACAATGGGCACGCTATACAGTCGGTAAAGGCATTCTAGCTGCTAGCCAGTGACTGGTGGATGGGAGGTTGAAAGCATCTAACATGCTCTACGGGAGTACTCTCTCCGTCTCCAGATTTCAAGTACTTGTCCAAGATTCCAAATATTTCATCATTTAGGATCTGGAATTTTCGGATGCGTTCTCCCATTTTCTTCAAGGGCTACAGGGGTAACAAAAAGAATATTCACACCAAAACATTCAAATTATATACCAGGGATGTGTTAAAACTGATGTTAAAACCACACATGTCTGAGCAACTCACATAGACCGCATAATTTGTATTACTATATCCATCAGATATGCATGAATAGCCTGTGTCCTAGCTACTTCACTAAAAATGTAACTAACCCATCTCACTACTAGCACACTGTACGCATAGCTCACTAACCCTGACAACACAGACTAATCAAATATGAACCATTCTGACTCTCCTAATACCTTACCGCTAGCCTGACCACACATTTCTTGCTTAAAGTTTTTCTTGTTATAATTTGCAATTACTAACAGTGTTCAGGGCTCCTATATAAATCTACGGTATAAGCATGACTACTATATTAAAAAAAATTGTGCATTTCTATTGTATGCCATTGGATACTTGTTTTGACTATGTCGGTTTGTTTTGCTGTCGTGGCATCACAGACCAGATTGTAATTCACTGCACGAAAAATAAAGAATTTTTTTTAAAAAAACAACAAACCTATGTCCCATAAATCTAAAACGAACATATTTCTATATGTACAAAAATAAATAAATATAATAAAGTTCAATTATATATGTGGAAAAAAAAATGATGTTAAAGTGGTGTCATAGCCACTACTGCTCATTGCAATGTTATGGTGCAAAGAGTCTGTGGGTGCCATCCCCACAGTTTGTCTCAATCCCTTTGCAAGTGGTTTAAAAAAAATAAAAAATTAAATTAAAAAGGACACTTTCTCTGCACCAACAAGATGGCCACCCTAATTGTTACTTGGAGTGCTCTATAAAATCAGTCACAAATGGTTTGACATAAGTTGTGGGTGGGAAAGAAATTGCATAGAAGGGAGGAGTCCTTATGTCTACACCCCAATTTGTGCTTATCATTTAAAGTCCTACATCAATACCCAGGCCTTATAAAATATTCAGATATTCTGCAAACCTAGAGGGTTGGTGGTACATTCACCTGGGGTCAATTTCTACACTCAAAGGCTAAATTTTCACTAACAATTGGACATTTTGAGCCCTGATGTAGGCATTAATTCAAATCAATTTAAAGGCTTTGGAACTGACAAAATGTATGCTTGCTGGATAAAATCAGTCCACCACTTTTTTATATAAATCCTAAATAAATACGACACTTTTATGGATAAATCCAAAAGGAAAGCATAGCATAGGAACCGTTAAATCTGAAGAAGGTTTGTTTACCAAAATGCTATTTTAGTTTGTATGATGTGATACCAATAAAGTCCTATTGCTGAGTACAAATTGTACTGGAATGACTGCTCATTCCTAATAGTTCTATTAGATTTCTTCATCTATTATGAAAGAAGCCCATACATAAATAATAATAGCAGGGCACATTTCCAATGGCCACTGGCAAGTGAAAATTTAACACTTGCAAGTGTGATAGTGACATGGACCCATCAAGCTTGCAGTGGTAAGCAAGTTACCGTTAAGGCCTGGCTAGGAGTGTAGAAATATCAAGTCCTGATAATAGTTTACAGGCACAAACTAATTTGCAGGTAAATAGTATGTTGCAGATATTAAATTAAAAGTATTGTGACTATGCATGTATAATAATTGAGCGTTCAATGCACTGACAGCAACCAAGCCCTGTTCTCTAGTGCTCTAGTGTCTCAATTTTCAATAGCACAGTTATGGTGGTGTACATACCACATTCTTGATGACTTCATCCTTGCCGTCATGTTTTTGCACTTTCAGGAGATGGTAGCAAAAATCCAACACATCGAACCGCCGGTGTTGACCCAAAAGCACAATAATCATGCAACCTGCCCAGTGCAGACCATCTCCAAAACACTGCCTATAGGAACAGAATTAAAAAGGGCATTAGAACCCAGCAAACAGTTGTCCACAACCAAGCTTCATTTGGATTGAAAATGTCAATATTCCAGATGCTTCGTCCATAGTCCCATCTGGTATCAATGTATGTACTATTACAGGGACTGCCATTAAAAATTACCACTTATTACTAAAAGGATCGCCATTACAAAGAATGCCTTTTGTACTAGTACTTGAACTACCACTGAAAAGAATGCTTTATTGTTTTGGCACAATGACAGTCATTAAAAGTCATTCCTTATTTTGCCAATATAAAGACTGTCAAACAAAGCTCAGTCATGTGCTCTTACACGGAATGTCACAAGTGCCTAGGTTACCATACTTACTCCACTGTGAACTCGTGGGTCCCCACAGGGATGCAGTAGACAAATTGCATAGCGCTCCAGAGTCGATGAAACTCCACACATTCATCCACGTGCATCACACCATTACTAGGAAGAGGCCCACGCCAGATAGGATCATCCAAAAAGCTCCGAACCCGAGTCAGAATGACTTCAAACATTGATAGGCCACAACAAAGACGCTCCTTGGTCAGTAAATCCCCTTCCCGTGCAATAGCAATTTGCTAAGAGTAAGAAGAAAAAAGAAAAAGAAAAAAGTCATTCCATAATGTTTATTTGAATTTAAAGGAGCACTATAGGGTCAGGAACACAAACATGTATTTCTAAAACCACCATCTAGCCACCCTGGTCCCCTCATGCCTCTCTAAATATATTAAAATCTTACTTGTATTCAAGTCTAAAATTGCTTACTTTGTCCCTGTTTCCTTTTGACCTGCCCACTGCCTGCTGACATCATCAGAAGTGGTGTCCTGATCCAATCACAATGCTTCCCCATAGGATTGGCTGAGACTGATAAAGGGGCAGATCAGGGGCAGAGCCAGCACAATTCAAACACAGCCCTGGCCAATCAGCATCTCCTCATAGAGATGAATTGAATCAATGAATCTCTGAGGAAAATTCAGTGCCTGCATGCAGAGGGTGGAGAATGTTTGGGTGCATTTTAGGCAGCCATGACCCAGGAAGGATCTCTAACAGCTATCTGAGGAGTGGCCACTGACATTATCACTAGGCTGTAATGTAAACACTGCATTTTCTCGGAAAAGACAGTGTTTACAGCAAAAAGCCTGAAGGTAATGATTCTACTCACCAGAACAAATTCAATAAGCTGTAGTTGTTCTGGTGACTATACTGTCACTTTAACCCCTTAAGGACCAAACTTCTGGAATAAAAGGGAATCATGACATGTTACACATGTCATGTGTCCTTAAGGGGTTAAACTAATGAACTTCATGTTATCCATTATTGAATATTGCTAATGGTTGGATAAAAACAAAACAAAAACATGGATTTTTCTTCCTTTATCTTTACTTAAAGGAACACTATAGGGTCAGGAAATTTACCCTTACTCTAGGTCATCTATGTGTAAATTGTGCACAAATACCTGCTACGGAGCACAATAAAACAATTAAAGAACTATACTCCTGGCCAACTGTTACTGTCCTAAAAACACACCGGCAATGTGCGTTCATACCTGGGGTGTTCCCAGTCTCTCTATCAGAGGAACCAAGTGAAGGGGAGCATATTTGGATTCCAGTCTCTTCATCTTCGCATCAAGACGTTCACCTTCTGAAAGTTTACAAAAAAATATGCAATGTGTGACATTTATGGCAATAAGTATTAAAAGTGGAATATTCCAAAAATAGGACTAAATCCATAAATATAACAAACTGTGTCACGCTCAGGGGGTAGGCATCGTTCAGCACTCTAGATCCCATGAACAACATCTCCTTTGATTCTTTGCCAGCATTACGTCTGTAAGAGCATTATGTGAGAGGTAGTTCACAACATCTGGAGTGTCAAAGGTTGCCTATCCCTGCTCTAATATATAGAGATAGCATGATCCAGTGTGAAAATCAGAATGGACCTGCAGGATTGAATTGTACATATGTGGTCTTCTGGAACCTTAATCCTTTCCTACCTTTAAACATATTACACATTGTAGCATCTTACTCATCAAATCTGATAACAGTTTTATTAATTAATAGATTAATTGCATTAATAGATGCAATTTAACAAATATTGCAGTTGGCAAACATATAGCCAAAACTGAAAATGTAGAAACACCACAAATAACAGAAGAGTAGGTAGTCAGTATGCACCAAGAGCATCGGGAACATGTTACAGAAATAACATTGTAATTTACAGTCAATATTACAATGAAGCTTTTAGTGAAAGAAAATTAAGAATACTATTTTTCTTTTGAAAATGAGAACTGGAAAAAACAGCGCTAATTGACAAGTTTAATGTGTGCTTTTAATTTAAAATGGCCACAAAAAGGGAATTTTTACTGCTCTGAAAATAAATAAAACTTCACCAAGAATTCTCACTGATTGTTTCTAATTCTCCTCCTCCAGTAACCATGTTGAAACACAGAAAATGGCGGAGCTTATAGCAAGGAATATCAGGAATAGCCAAGATGGAGGCACCCAGTTCCAGGCTATAGAAAAATACAGTTCTGTAGATTTCTACATTTAAATGTTATTTTCTGTCCTCAAAAATCACGTTTGCTAAATATAAGGGCTATGTAAAAATCATAATAAAAATATTGGAAAAATTATGGCTTCCTTTATCTAACACTGGAACTATATTACACATGTGTAGTTATAGAGGAGGTGTGTTCCATCACTAACAAACCTACCCTTAATGTGTACCCTTGGTAGAATATTCTGGAATGGAGCCGCATGGAGCAAATCACAGACCTCTTCTAATGACTAAAAGAAGAAGAAGAAGAAAAAAAAAAAGGAATACAAAAATGATCAGCTTTGCCACTTAAAACTATATAAAAGGTGAGTATGTACTGCTGTAAAAATCTGCAATTGTTTTTCACACATATTATACCTTGTTACACAAAGGCCCAGATTCATAGACTTCTATATGAAAGCTCGGCTTTGATTTTATGCTGCACTGCACACAGCAGCTTAAGATAGACTTGAACTAACCATTTCAAGCAATTAGTGGGCTAATAGCTTAGCTAAATGAATTGAACATGCAGACCTCCAATTACTTGGCTAATTCTGTTGCTATGTTACTCTGGGATTTGAAAAGCCCATGATTAGCTATTCATTTTGCTGGACCCTCGGTCAGTGAATCATAAATGACATCTTTTGTAGTTCCCACAGCATGACTGCTCTTAGATGCTTGTGACTCAGTGAGAGCTGAATAAAGTGGACAGCAATGCACTGGAAGGACACTTCCAATCACATTACAGGACTACACCCATATGGTCTAACAGCACATCTATGTTATGCCCCTTAAAACACGTAAATAGTATTGTTTCCATTATTTTATTTGCCCAATCACTTGCCTACAGGTGTCTCTATGGAAATATATTGGGAGTTGCTTTGTTAATTGCTCTAGTGAGCTACAAATTAGAAGGTTTAAAGTCTCAAAAGAACAACAGCTAATTAGAAAATATGCTTAGTCTCACAAATGTGTTTTGCATAGGTCCTTCAGCACTAAGCAGTGAAACTTCCGAGGCATGATCTATACACCAAAACTGTGTCATAAAGCTAAAGTTCTTTTGGTGACTCTAGTGTCCCTTTTTGTTATTTTTGTTTTAGCCGTATTGGTGCTCTGAGTATCCTGCTTTAAGTCCAGAGTAGTTGAGCAAATATGGTTTGAATGCTCAGTATTGTTGTAGTCAATTTACATATCGGGCCATCCTGGGCACTATATCATTCCTGCCCCTTTGCTGGAATGGCAAACAGTAATGCAAACACATGGCTTGTACCTACCAGGCTCTGCTCGATAAGGAGGCAGAAGAGGAGAGCATTTCCTACTTCTCTTAGATTCTGAAAACACACAGTCTTCAACTCGGCATACTCCACAATGTCCTTGAGCTGGTGGTGGAAGAATTCCAATATACCTAGTGTTCAAATAAAATAAAGCAGGTAATTGGAAGGGAATGATTTAAACTGAGCCTAAGAAGAACACACATATATAAGACATTGAGTCATTTCTGACAGTTTGCAACACTGTGGATTTTTTTTAAGAACACTCATTTCTAACCTCCAGTGGCAAGGAAATCTAATAAACTGATATGCATTGACAATTCTGACTCAGAAGTATAGGTGTACTCTACCCATAAAAAGTGCTGTGCTATATACATTTCTGATGTTGTTGGTGTTCTAGACAATGGAGTGGGGGGCAACCTTAAATTTAAGATTATTCAAATGTAACTGATCAATTAGCAGTGCTGGAGGACAACTCCCATGAATCATTGTAGCTTGCCAAGAATTGCAGGACATGAGAGCTGCTGAAGTCTGTCTAACAGTCCCCATTCAATTCTCTAGTATACAAAACATATACAGTAACATTTACAGGATTAGTAGAAAGGATTAGGACCTCAGCCCCATCTCCTCACAAATCCTCTCTGAAGAGCTCACATGGCAGATGACACATTTTAGTGGTGTATTGCTGCTCTGTAATTGCAAAAAAAATAAAAATGTCAAAATGGAAAATAATGATGCAGTATTTTTTTTTAGAAGAGATATATATTTATATAGTGACACACACACCAGTAAGTGAATTAGTTATTCAAACCACCATAACCACTTCTGCTGTTAGAAGTGTTCAGAGTCTGTATGTGGAGCTGCACAAGCAAAATAATTAGCACTTTTGTGCCGTGGGTTAGTTACACACCTGGCACGTGATTTAGGCAGCTCAAAAGTTAGATCTGTCATCAGCACACAGCATGCTGGCAACAGATATAATGAACTGTTTCATTGCAGTGCTGCCTGCATGGATTGCAAGTTAAATAAAAAAAATTAAAAACAAATCTAACCCCTACCTGGCTTAAAACCAATAAAACTTTAATGCATTTGATTCTGGTTTTATTTTCATTTATCTTTATAGTTTTTGCACCAAAAAATAAAAACATTTTTTTTTTTGCATAGTGCTGCACCATAAACCTGCCTCCCTAGCCAAGTAGATGTGGTAGGTTGGTTAAAGAACACCGATTCTAAACCACCACCACCCAGGTTACAGCACTGTGAAAAGGGATCCATATTTTATCACTGTAAAATCCATGGGCTGCACAGTACAGGTGCAGTATAGTAAAGTTTTTTGGTACGCACAGGATACAGAAAGATATGAAATGTTTCAGTCTACATGGCCTTAGTATACTGCCTAGAAACAAAAATGTAATTCATTAAAGTTGTATTGGTGTCCAAAGTGATCCTATAATAATGTATTGATTCCCTAATCAAGACAATTAAAGGGTCAGTATAAACATCATACTTACTAGATACTGCTGTGAAGTTTAAGGTACTGCTCACTGCAGGTTCTGGATCAAACCATTTTTGAACGATTAACTAAAACAGCAGTCTAGCCCCCACCTCACAAGATTGTTCACGCAGAATTTCACTTTCGGAATACCAATATGAATATCACATAAAAGCATGTGACATCATTTATGGAGTACACGATTGCTCCTAGGCACTCATATTATGAAAGCTAAACATGTGTGTCAGTTAGGTAGGTCTTGTGTCTGTACCACAGACTTTCCCCCATTGCAATTGTGATGGCAGAATGCTTAGAAGAATACAACCAGCAGAAATTGGTCCTAACTGCTTGTTTGTTAAAGATGTATCCATTTCCACTTCTCTCATCAGAGTTATACTAAAACTCAATTTATTTTTGCATATCAATACTGATCGCATACTAGCTGCGTTCCAAGCACTTAACGGCTAATCTAGTTTAACCAACACAGACTGGAATATGCATCCAGTCTGAAATTTCATTTTTATTTTTTTAATATGGATTTTGTTAAAGTAAATTTGACTCAGTACTGAATATCTTTTTTCAATAGAGAAAATGCAAAAAACGGTCATGATTTAATGTGATCTGATTTAAACCTTGTCATAGAGGAGTATGAGAAAAGGAGAGAAGATTATTATATTGCCCTTAGAAGTAATTTGGCAGTACCAGTCCAACACCAAGCCTAACAGTCTCTATGCAGCCAAACTCCACAATAAACTCCAGCTACATCATTAGCTCCTGGAACCTTAACTCATGCATTTACAGTTAAATACACATTTCATATTCTAAAAGAAGGTGCACACATTATCGCCCACTCTTCTTCTCAGTAAGCTGTGTCATTGACATTTTGTTCAGTTCAATACAATGCTGAAAATCACCCAGATTTGAAGGTTAATACGTGCTATTTTCAGAAACTCGATAAACTGACAGGCTGCTCATTGGAGGGGGACATGGGGGATCATCCGAATATAACAATCACTTCTTGAGCTGATGTTGAGCTGAACATGATTATTCATTTGACACGTCCTCTCCTCTCTTTGTACAAGGAGTGATAAGTACTGGGGATAGAGTACTCAAACATAAAACTACAGTCTCAAGACGTCTTCGATTTGAAAATGAAACTGTATTTTGTGAGGTCGAGCAGACCCTGCAAACTAAGGAATTAACTGGCATACGGATTATTCTGAATTTGCCAAAGATGGCTCTCCTTTCAGCTATCCTGACTGACAATACCCGTTTTTAACACTGGAGCTCTTTGACATGTCGTCATCAAAGCAAAAAGAAAAAGTTACCTAGACCTTTGGTAATTGTGTAAATGGTACAGCGAGGGAAGAAAAAAAAAATACAGCTTATGAAAGTAAAGTAATCTTTGTAAATGTATTTTTTTTAACCCATCTATAAAAATAAAAACTACGGACTGATCACCCAGGAAATTGAGACGCAATGAAAGGATACATTGAACACCTCAATTTGTCCAATGTGAGGGCTTGCTCATTTTTCATCTATTTAACCCTCTTTGTGCAAGGTTGCTTAGTGGCTCTCACCACCTTCCCAGCACAAAAAAAGATAAGAATTCATTCTGATTTTACCTAGAACAGGACTTACAATCCTTTTTAGGTGTAAGGGAAACAGTTGAATGCAGGTGAAAATTTCTCTAAATGGTAAAATTGTGTTCTTTTCATTAAATACCCTTGACTATCAATAAAAATGGGTGTATTGTGACTTTTGCTCTAAAAAAAGCTTTATTTATACAAAATGAACAAACCTGGGGAGCCATATTCATGTCTGGGCAATCTGCAGATCTTAGGCATGACTTCCATCAATGTTTTCACATACTGAAGAATTGTGCCTTGAAGCTAGAGAGGCCAGTGGTAACAAATCAATGATTAAAGAGAGGAAAATACATTTAAATACATACATACTTTATTTTGGTTAGCAGATCAGATGGCAGGTTTTATAAAAAAATAAAATAAAAAATAAAAAACAAACAGAAAACAAAAACAATTATCTATAGAAGAAACTCTTCTTCCCATCAAGATCAACATTTTTGCTACATCCAATACAAATCCATTTACCCATTACAGATCCCTACTATCGGTCTAGCCAACACATGCCTGCCAAAAATATGAGGAAAGGACACAGCTAGGGTTTTTCTAGAAAACTGCTTGCTACTATTACACCATGTGCCTATCTGTGACGGTCAGCAGAATAAGAAAGGGAAAATAAACAATTGCTTTTACGGAAGCACATTTAAAGTGATACACCAAGCATCAAATCTGCTTTTGCTAAATAAAGCAGTTTTAGTGAATCGATCATGTTCCTGCAGTCTCACTGCAGTTAAATAACTTTTGTTTCTCTTAATTAAGCCTAGACATTCCTTCTCTTGCAGATGTGACAGCACACTATTTACTTTACAAGGTTTTATATCCTGCTCTGTTAATTAAACTTTAATCACACACAGGAGGTTCCTGCAGGACCAAGCAGGTTACTAACAGACCAATAGAGAAGAAAGTCTAAATCAACTAGAATGTGCAATAAAATATGTTTAAATATTAGACGTCTCTTTACAGGAAGTGTTTAGGAAGGCGGTGTGAGTCACATGCGGAGAGGTGTGACTAGAGCTGTATAAAAGGTGATTTTAACTCATAGATGGCAGAAAATGGAGATGTGAAACTGCAGGGAGGGACATGATCTATACACCAAACCCACTGTATTATGCTAAAAGCTAATTTGGTGCCTATAGTGTCTCTTTAAACAGAGAGGTATGTGCTCACAAAACAGTGAATTGAAAATGGACTCTGAATATACATTTCTAATTACAACAGCTTACTCTTTCATGAATAAACTTCTTAGAACTTCACATTAAAAATAGATCATAATGTAAGTTTCCTCTATACAGATAAACATTTACTAAAGTGATTCCCCCCATCCCATTAAAATAGTTTTTAGGATTTTTAGGATTGTGGCTTATTTAAAGGGACACTATAGTCATCAGAATCACTACAGCTTAACGTAGAGGTTTTGGTGTCTATAGCATGTCCCTGCAGTCTTATCACTGTAGTGTTTACATTGCTGGCAAGTTATGCCTCTAGTGGCAGTAACTCAGAAAGCCATTAGAGGTGCTTCTCGGGTCAGTGCCAAACAATGTGCTCTGCATGGAGGCGCTCAATATTCCCCATAGACATACATTGATTCAAAATATCTCTACGAGGAAATGCCGACTATTGCTGCGTATGCACAACAGCCTACCAATGCTTTCCTAAGCGAAAGCAATGGATTGGATGAGATCATCAAAACTGCTGATCTCAGCCACTAAGACGGAGCCTACTAGGTGAGACCAGCGCAGTGTAGGAGTAAAAGGGAGTAAAATCGCCTTTATTGTCCAGAGAGAGGGGGAACATGGACCTAAAGCTGCATTCCAGCAATATAGTGTTTCTTTAATAAAGCATTATCTTGTACACGTTCCACTTATAGTAAACTATACAAAGTAGAATGGGTGGTCCCCTATAGAATTTACAAAAATGCTCTTCCACAGATTTATCTTTATACCTAAACTATTATTTAGAAGACACAATTACAAAATCATGCACAGATTCCACTCACCAGGCTCTTCACAACTTTCAGCAATTCTTCCATCACTACTGCAATGCCTTGGTACCCCAGAAGGCGGCAGATTACTTTGAAGTGTGGAGGACCCACAAAGTTCCTGTAGTAGCTATATATACTGTTGTATGCCAGATTCAAGATCTGCAGAGAAACACGCAATAGGTCTAGTGAGTTCAAGGGAATGTGTATAATGTTGCTCTAAATCAGCAAAATTAAGACATAACATTTATAAAAGAGTTGCTCACAGGGAAGTTGTGGAATGTTCTAAATAAACTGAAGCAATTACCATGGAAACCAATGAACTGTTCCAACTGGTTACCATAGTTATTGCCCCACTATTAAAACTTGCACCAATTTTCTGTTAGTGATGTATGTAGAAAAATCCCCCAATGGTTGTGTGTTTCTACAAAATGATTCACATTTGACTAAAAGAAGCTAAAGCATCATAAAAATAGAAAAGTGAACTAAAGGTGGGAGAGTTGTATATCAGAATGTCGTCAGTGATATATAAAGTCTTTGGTTTACATCTTCAACTTTCTTTTTTCCCCAACTAACCCATTGTGTATAAGTGTATAAAAAGAAATCATTACTTTTGTGGCTGAATCAAGAAAATAATTATTTTACATAGGCACATAAATCAATTTAGACATCCCAACATATGTAATAAGTCACAAGTGAAACACAAAAGGCACACTCACTTACATCTCATAGTGGGATTAGCATTATTAAATTATACATATCCTGTTGCAGATGCATTTTCTGAAGACTAAACTCAAAGGAGAAACAAAGGTGGTGGGATCCATTAGAAACCTTTATTATTCTGATGCATAAAAATCATCCCTTTTAATTGATGTAAAACACTGCAGTTTATCAGAAACTAGACCTCAAGTGGCTGTGACTAATAGCCACTAGACTAGAGGCTCTTCCCTACTGAAGAGACCCAATGACATGGGACTGGCGGAGTGCGATGATTACGCATATGCACCATTTGTCCCCATTGCTTTTTTACGAGAAGTAATGGGATTGGGCAAAAGTCAGAGCTGATAACTTCACTAGAGGTGTAACAACTACCGAGAGAAGACTATCCCAGCAATGGAATACAGAATGTTTTATAGCTTTTTTTTATTTGTATGACAAGGAAGGATCCCAGTAATTTAACTACAGTAAGGAAAATGTTCACATTAAAACAAAACATATGTATTTTTTTACGTTAAAGTGTTCCTTTCAAATAATTTTTATTGAGTTTTAAAAGACATAAGTTACAGAAATGATGAAAAATTTTTTTTTAGATAAATTACAATATGGGGGAAATAATATATAAGAGAAATCCATAATACTTAAGAGAAAAGATAATAAATAAAATAATAAAAAAATAAAATAAATATATATATATATATATATATATATATATATATATACACACACATATATTTACACATATACATACACACACATTTTTACATAAAATATAAAAACTGATATGATATAAGTATATCTACAGAAGATAATAGATATATATATATAAAAATGCAAAATAATAAAAATAAATTTTTTTAAAAAATTCATGTTGGCCAACTGGTGGGCATCACCCTAGACTGTACTTTTTTGTCCTCTTCCCACATTGCCCCCTCATGATGCAAATTAATATATATTTATTTTAGATAGTTTTTTTTGTCTAAAAAACAATTCACAGCTTTTACTTTCAATTACCAAATTTAAGACTTCTTTAATGGATGGGATATTTGTAGATTTCCAATATTTGGGTATTAAAGAGTTGGCTGCAATTAATAAATGCTTTAATATTATTGATTTGTTTTTGGGTAAATTTGGGGGAGGTTTTTTTTAAATAAACAAATTTCAGGGGTTAGGATTATAATTGAATCTGTAATTGTATTAATTATTTTATAAATCGAATTCCAATATTGTTTTATTAAAGGGCACGTCCCAAAAATATGGCCCAAGAACCCCACTTGTCCACAATGCCTCCAACATTTTTTTGAATTTAATCATTTGAATTTGTGTAATTTTGAGGGAGTTAGGTACCATCTGAATAATAATTTACAATGGAACTCATAATGAGAGACGCACTGTGTAGTACTCTTCAACGATAAAATAAAACCATTCCAATCATCCAGATCAAAGGCCAGGCCTAACTCCTGCTCCCAATGTAGCAAGAAGTCTGATTTCTCATTGTTGTGGTTTTCAAAAGTCGGGTAAAAAATAGATATGGTATGTTTCCTTCCTGAATACGAAATGTTTTATTTTTCTGTAGGCGAGAATAATATTGATCTCTTATTCAGATCCAGGTTGGAAACATCAGTTTTTAGACTAATCCAATCAATCAATTTTTTGTGAATTGGGGCATCTGCATTATCTAAATTATTACTTTCTTTTAATTGATTAAAGGGTATGAATTTGTTATTTTTTAAAAATAAGATTATCAATATGTTTAACCCCTTAAGGACCAAACTTCTGGAATAAAAGGGAATCATGACGTCACACGTCATGTGTCCTTAAGGGTTAATTGAAAGAGAGGACCAATATGAAGGGTCAAAATCAGGTATATATTTTTGGTTAAAAATGATAAGGGAGTTGCTCTTGATTGTTAGAGTGTTCCTTTAAGCGTATTAAAGGGACACTATAGTCACCCATACCACTTCATTTCAATGAAGTGGTCTGGGTGCAGTATCCCTGTACTTTTACCCCTGCAATGTAAAACTGAAGTTTTTAAAAGAAACTGCAATGTAAACATTGCACATTTAAGTCCACCTCTATGGCTGTGATACCGACAGCCATTAGATGCGTTTTCGCTTCATTGACAGAATAAAATTTGATCATGTGACATAGGAGGGAGAGAGGGAGGGAGAGAGAGAGAGAGAGAGAGAGAGAGAGGGAGAGAGAGAGAGGGAGAGAGAGAGAGAGAGAGAGGGAGAGAGAGAGGGAGAGAGGGAGAGAGAGAGAGAGAGAGAGAGAGAGAGGAGAGAGGGAGAGGGAGAGAGAGAGGGAGAGAGAGAGGGAGAGGGAGATATATATATATATATATATATATATATATATATATATGGCCAGTGACTGGTAGTGTAACTTAAAGGAACACTATAGTCACCTAAATTACTTTAGCTAAATAAAGCAGTTTTAGTGTATAGATCATTCCCCTGTAATTTCACTGCTCAATTCACTGTAATTTAGGAGTTAAATCACTTTGTTTCTGTTTATGCAGCCCTAGCCACACCTCTCCTGGCTATGATTGACAGAGCCTGCATGAAACAAAAACTGGTTTCATTTTCAAACAGATGTAATTTACGTTAAATAATTGTATCTCAATCTCTAAATTGAACTTTAATCACATACAGGAGGCTCTTGCAGGGTCTAGCAAGCTATTAACATAGCAGGGGATAAGAAAATCTTAATTAAACAAAACTTGCAATAAAGAAAGCCTAAATAGGGCTCTCTTTACAGGAAGTGTTTATGGAAGGCTGTGCAAGTCACATGCAGGGAGGTATAACTAGGGTTCATAAACAAAGGGATTTAACTCCTAAATGGCAGAGGATTGAGCAGTGAGGCTGCAGGGGCATGTTCTATACACCAAAACTGCTTCAATAAGCTAAAGTTGTTCAGGTGACTATAGTGTCCCTTTAAATGACAAAGTGCTTAATACATTTTGTGGCACTTTCCTGTGACTTAGGTGTCCACTGGATTAGTCATTCACAAAACAAGCCAGATTCAACTGGGTTATTTACTAAACCATAATTAAATATGTATTGCATAATTTAGACCAAAATAGTCAAGATGGAAAATATGTACCTGAAAATAATCTGTATTTTCAGCACAGTTCACTTAGTGAGTAAACCCCAAGGTCACTTACAAGCTGCGAGACAGACATTTAAAAACTACAAGTTGTGCTTAGCGAAATGTCCAGCAAATTCAAAGATTACTAATATGACAAAAGGCATATGTCTTCTAATCTTGATGGATAGGACAGATGTGAATGCAGTCTCCAAAAGGACCAATGGACAATATCACAATGAGGCCATAAATTCCAGGTGGCCATGAACAGTTGCCCACAGAAGCCAAATTTGCACCTCACTGCACAGGTAATTGAACTAAAGACTAACAGGCTTAAAAACAAATTCATAGATTTTTAACGTGTAAATTTACTTACTGGCAGGTAAAAAGTAAGCCCTGGCAAATACCAATTCACCCCTGGTGAGTGAGCCATGGACCGTTTAGGCATGCAGCGGCAAGTAATTTTTCGTCTTGATTTATGAAATGTAATATATTTTATTGGTGGGTTTTTATTCTGTTCGCTATTCCACGTTTACGTGAGAGACATAATTTATTGAACATGAATGTTTAAGATAACATGCCTTCTACCATGAGAAGGCATGAAAGTGGGGCAAGATCGTGAAGGTACAAAAGGGGCAACCAGCAGACATAAGTCAGTTCTAAAACATGGGGGATACCCAGAAAAAGAGCGAATGCAACCCCTGCCAACCAACCAGATCTGTACATGTGCAAAAAGCCCAAAATAGTCTAGTACAAGCATTTCTCAATCATTCACACTTCATTTTTATGTGATTCACACAGATGTACTCAGAAGCAAGCCCCCCAGGGCTAAGGACCCACATAGGAATTATCACACTCATTTTGGGACACTATAGTAATGGCTTTTACATTAAATACAAGGAGATCTTTCCTTTTAAAGAAACAAAAATTGCCAGTGAGAGAAACTGAAATATAAACGGAATGCTCAGTCTTAATGTGTCACGTTGTTTATGCCCATTTCCATGATTCGCTGGCTGATGGAACACAGGACAGAACTATAGCCCAAGCCACCAGATGGCAGCTTATAGTTAGAATCATGGACATTTAGTAAACCGGGTGAAAAGAAGGCTCAGCTTCAATAAAAGTAACATCATAAAGGGTGAGCAGTTACATGTGCTTGTGCTTTCTTTACTTTTAATGAACTCCTAACACAGCAGATGCTGGCCAGATTAAGCATGACCCTGTTCTGAAAAAGAGCTTTGGCAAATTGTACTTTGATTGTATTTAATTGAAAAATGATCATCTAAAAATCAAAGCTGTCCCACTTCCAACAGGAGAGAGGACACATGATTTCAGATAACATCTTATAAAATTGATCATTCCTTTCATGTCAATATATTATATTTATATGTACAGTATATTGCTCGGAGAAATTCTTCGAAGGCAAACGTCAACCCGAGTACTGGGTCATTCAGTCTTACATTGGTTAACGCCAGCTGTTTAATCTTCTGTAAAGCCCTATGAGTGTCCTCTTTCTCACTTTATGATAGACAATGTACCTTTTCTTTTTAGTAAATATGTGAATTTGTGTGGTCTGTGGTTTTCACATAATTAAATTCACAGATTGTGCTGGAGATGAAGACCCTTGAAAAGGACACTCCATACAACATAAGCACTAGAGTTTGTCGTCCTTGTGCCCACCCATCTTTGGCTGCATTGATCTTATGGCATTAACACTTTCACATTATCAATGTCAATGTCATCAAACAGGGACGTTTTCACATTTAATGCAGTCAGAGTTAGAAGAAATGGTATTGTTACTATGAAGTGAAATTCTGACACTCTCAGCAACATAAGCCACACATAACAACAAGCAGCGCTTGTTATAAGAGTGAAAGAGGGAAGACGCAGAGCTTTACAGGCGATAAACAGCTGTGTTATCCCATGTAAGGCAGTAGATAATATTCAGTTCAATGCTTGATTTTGAAGAATTTTCTTTGGACAATATGTATTTTGTCGCAGAACAGCATATATTGACCAAAAAGTAATGACAGGGTTTTTGAGATGTAATCTTGCAGTTTCTGAAATATTTTGTTCAGTTAAAGACAATCAAAGCAACTTTAAGCAACAGAACATGCAACACTAAGCAATATAACCATTACAATGAGCTCTAGTGATTAGGTTTTCGTAGCGAACTAAGCACAGTGAAAGAAACAGATTCAAATATATTATATTTTCTGATCAATAGTTCTTAATGGCACATGATGGAATTATTCCTTCCCTTAAGGACCCATGATAGAATAATATAATTTGATAACTAGATACTTGGGTCCCCCCTCTGTCAGCTGGGGCCACAATTAGTGGACCAACGCTAACCGGTGAGCTGCTTCCAATGCTCAAAGTGAGAGCTGCACTCTGTCAGCAACAATTATAATTCAATGAGTCTGTACTTTAGAGGGACACTCAGGGCACCAGCACAACTTATATTTGATGGTTTGGACATAGTATTAATCTTTCTACAACAAATACATCCATAAACCATGCCTTTCCACTTTTCACAAAATGTCTTCCAATTTGGAATTACACACAACAAATTTTTTTTTATAAAATATTTTACCAGGATAGATTCATTGAGATTTCTCTCGTTTTCAAGTATGTCCTGGGTCCACAAAACATTGCATTGATACAATAGGATACAAAATTACAAAAACTACAATATACAAACAATATATATATTATATATATATATACACACACACACATATACACACACATAAATTTAGCATATAACAGGTGATAAATATATTCAACCATGACAGGTGCATTTTGTGCTTAGCTATCTTGCCTTAGAGCTCTTAAAAGATTTTAGATTGAATGACGATTTGACTGTGTCCCTGAGGTTATTTCATGATTGTGGTGCTCTGTAGGAAAATGAGGATCGAGCCACTTTATTTTTGTATTGCGGTATGCTAAATATTGTGCTAGTACTGAATCGGAAGTTATAGGACAGACATAGGCAACCTTTGGCACTCCAGATGTTTTGGACTACACCTCCCATGATGCTTTGCCAGCATTATGGGTGTAAGAGCATTATGGGGGATGCAGTCCACAACATCTGGAGTGCAGAAGGTTGCCTATCCCTGTTATAGGAGGTTGGAACAGCTGGGGAGAGCATTCTACTCAGGTAGGGTGGGAGCATCCTAGTAAAGCTCTTATGCACAAGGCTGGAAAAATGAAGAGTGCATTGGGATTCCAGTGATAGTCAGTTTACCTGCCATTGTGACATGTTAAATGAGCTAAAGTAATTACATTCTAGTACAAAGCGGCAGACCGAGTTATACAACGTATCACGTTTATTATGGTGGGTTTGCGATGCAGGTGCATAAATGACATACATGTGTACAGTTGAGGATTTGCAGACGTTAGGCAGATCATTTATAAATAATGTGAATAGCAGGGGGCAGAGTATGGAGCCTTGAGGAACACTACACGTGACTGGAAGAGCGAGGGAGGCGCTATTAGAAATGGCCACATATTGTAATCGGTCTGAAACATACAATCGAAATCAGGTTAGCGGACGATCAACATATGCAGCTCAGCTAATGGATGTCCAGTCTAAACTGCACAGTGTAAATAGGAATCAGAGCAGATAATGGAGGCAGAAAATAGCTGGGGATGTGGGAGTCATTTCAGCATCCGAGATCAAAATTATTTCTTATTGGCAGAACTGTGTGCATACAACAATAACGCTATAGTTATATTTCACTTCAAAGAAAATGCCTTTATTTTAAAATTTCCAGACAAAAGTGTCAAATCGGAAAAATTCTCCAAGTCAGCCAAGTTTACAATTCAACTATTTTCGGTCTAAAATTTCAAATACACTTTGATTTGCCCATATTTTTACATTCTTGAATAACCTCAACAGATAGAAAATTACCAAGAAACAGCCGGCTAAGTCTTACCATTGCTCTTATAGATAAAATGCAATTGTTCTTGCTACAAAATGCTTTGCTAATGGCATGATAACAAAAAGGGATGAAAAAATGTGTAATTTGTAATAGCATGAATATTATACATCAAACCACCTTCATAGGATCCTGAAAAAATTATTGATACGCTGCATGAATAAAACAATATTAAAAAAAATTATTGTAAAGAAAGAATACGGATCATACATATATTTACACAAAGACATAACACATGCTGAAATAATTAGAGCGATTAGAAGAGATCATGAAAGAATTATTGACACCTGTACGTAGAAATATCTGTGATCTGTAGATAAGACCAACAGAAAGCAGTCTCTGGTGATGTGAATTACTAAACGAATTACAAATAGCACAGGATAGCACAAAAAGGGTGTCACATGTATCTGATCGACTCATTTGTCTCAGGAATCAGAGGCAGATTGCAATACTATGTAAAAATAAAGACCCAGTTCTCCTATCCCTCCGGATAAAAAAAAAAAAAAAGTCCATATCCCAGTGACAGTGTCACGCAAGCTCCTCTCGTATGCTTGCTGCTTAGAGAGGATTGTGTTAGTGATCTCAGAGAGACAGACAGCACTGGAGTTCACTGCTTTCCCCCCCAAGGAGAGGACAGAAGGCGCAACAGAAGAGAGAGAGAGATCCAGGGGGCTAGTAGGGGGAGGGTAAAAAAAATATCATCTTTTTATGTCTTTTAAAAACCAAGGCAACAGAGCACTTGGGGAGTATGCGCTTACAAGTGAAATCAAATAGCAAAGACAAAGGAACCATTTCACCAGCGTCCCTGGAGAACGGAAACAAATGACAGCAGAGAGAGCTCCCAGCTTGAAGAATGTAAGAAACAGTGAGATCCAGGTGCAAACACCGAAATCAAAATCCTTTAATTAGTGGGCCATCAAATCCACTTTGGGCAAAAGTCACTTGCAGGAAGGTAAGCACTCTTTTCGTGTCTCCTTATAGGTCTGTTGTATTGTGATATAAATGCAGAGCACTGCCGGATTATTAATTTGCTCATTTTCTGGCCAAATGTGATAAAAAGTAAAATTGAAGGGGGAAAAATGTAAAAATAAAATAATCTAGCTGTAGTTTAAGTATGCTGGTAGATTGTTCCCTTGGACAGGAGAGATTCAACAGTCTGCCAGCCTTGTATTAAACACTACATGCCTAGTCATTGCGACCAGCTAATGGCCTTCATTTCACATTTGAGTAATTTTGATAATTTACTGCATCAAAACAGAAACAAAAAGATATCTTGTGTATCCAGTAAAACAAACATACTTTGTATAATGATGGTGTTATGTTATAAATTTTCATTTTCAAACAGATAAATACAAAGAAAGGACAGATGGAAGCTGATAAAAAAAATAATTAATAATAATAATATGCGGGTTGATTCTGAAGCATAAGTGTCTAGAAAACAAATAACTGAATATGCAAATAGTTCCTTCACAAGTCTATGAAGTTTGTCACAGTCTCGGATGAGCGACATATCAGGAATATGCAGCTGTCTTTCACATAGCTTGAGTTCTGCCGTAGGATGACAACAGCAACTAATACAAGGCTATAGTATTAATATAAAACACGAGAAGCACATTTGTGTCATGCTGAAATTTAAGTCGGGCACAGTTAACCATTTATGACTGAAAAGCCATTCTATGTATAGAATTGAAACATGTCTGGGTACTCCAAGGGTTAAATACAAACGGCCCCAGAGAGCCATTCCAATCACTGAACTTATGCCAAGGAAAACAAAATGTAATACTAGTATAATGGGTTCTGAAATAATTCTTTATGTGTACATAAAAATATATATGAATGTATTTATTTATATATGTAACCATGTCCTGAGCAAAGTCCCACACAGGGACTGAAATGACAACTCTTTTTGTTTGTTAATGTTTGCAAGCTGTTAAGGAGTCTTGGATACTTCTAATCAAAATGGAATAAAGCTTGATGAATCTTCATGCCGTGAGTGCAGAAAACCTCCTTCTATTGGTATATAATTTTTTTGCCTCAGTCTGGCACCTGGCGATTGAATTGTTTTAAAAGGAACATTGGGCAACAAGCTTTTGGAAGAACTCCCTTCCTCAAGTCTAAAGCATTTCTGAGCAAAGACGACACAGAAGTTTGCTCAGAAATGCTTTAGACTTGAGAAAGGGAGGTTCTCCCGAAAGCTTGTCATTACAAAATTCCGTTAGTCCAATAAAAAAGGTATTACATTTCAGGGCACAATAATCATCTGTTCCTTAGTAGGTCTTAAAATTAGGTCAATGCAATCTCAGATGAACAACACATGACATATTACACTGTGTAATGATTTAACAAAAATATAGTCAAAATGGAAAAGCCATTTTGTGGGGAAAACTAAGTACACCTTATGATTCAGTAGCTTGTAGAACCACCTTTAGCAGCAATAAAGTAATCATTTTTTGCACAATTTTATCAGTCTCTCACATTGTTGTGGAGGAATTTTTGCTCTTTTTTTATGCACAGCTCTCTTAAGGTCCAGCCATAGCATTTTAATTTGGTTGAGGTCTGGACTTTCACTGGGACACCTTGATTCTGTTCTTTTTCAACCATTCTGGTTTAGATTTGCTAGTGTGCCTGGGATCACTGTCCTGTTGCATGATCCGATTTCAGTGAAGCTTGAGCTCTAGGACAGATGGCCTCACATTTGACTCTAGGACACTTTGGTTTACAGAGGAGTTTATGGTTGACACAATGACTGCAATGTTCCCAAGTCCTGTGGCGGTACAACAAGCATCACCCTGTGGCATCACCCTTCCACCACCATGCTTGACAGCTAGTACAAGTTGCTTGGTTTTCACCAAACGTGGTGCTTTGCATTATGGAAAAACATCTCCACTTTGGTCCAAAGGAAATTGCTCCAGAAGTTTTGTGGTTTGTTCAGATGCAATTTTGCAAACCTAAGCCATATTGCCATGTTCTTTTTAGAGAGAAGAGCCTTTCTCTTGGTAATCCTTCCAAACAAACCATACAATTGTATTTTTCTAATTGTACGGTCATACATTTTAACAAGTAACATGCTAACGGAGGTCTGTATAGTCTGAGATGTAACTCTTGGTTTTTTTTCCCCCCAATTTCTCTGAGCATTGCATTGACCTTGGAGTGATTTCTTCTCCTGTGAAGAATGGCAAAGGTCTTGAGGTTTTCAACTTTTGTTTTTCTCACTGTAGAATGATGGACTTGTTTGGAAATGAACTTATAACCCTTCCCAGTTTGATGGGCAGCAATAATTGCTTCCATAAGATCATTTTACACACCTGAATGCTCCAGACCAGCAAACTGCTAAAACCTTTTTTAGAGATGGTCACTTACTGATGATCAGGTAATAAAGGGCATTTGATTAGCATCACCTGTCTGCTACTTAGCCTCTTAATGCCTATGGAAGCAGTAAGGGTGTATTTAGTTTTTCCACACATGGCTTCTCCATTTTAGCTTTATTGTTGTTCACAATTTCTCAAGCTTCTGTGACCAAGGGGGACTAGAGTTCAACATGAGATATGCAGGAGATGCACAGCAATTTTTCTATCTGCATAAAATTGAGGAGTTTTATAGTGTTAGGTCTCACCACAAATTATTTGGGATATATCCCATATCTCTTTTCTCCAGTCCCCCCCCCCCAAAAAAAAAAAAAAAAATTTAAATCCTGTACATACAGACAATACTATAATAATAATTCTAAAACAATAAATAAAAAGATCCTCTCCATAATTTGATGCAGATAGAAGAACATACTGTTGTCCATCACCTGCATATCTCAAGCTGGACTTTGAGAACAGAAGGTCACAGAAATCATATTTCAGACTTCACAGCTTTTTGTGGCATGGGCTATGCATCAATAGAAACAGTGACAAGAAACCACCATGGACAGTACAGGTTCGTCCATTGAGTTAGTCAACATGGCGCCGGTTATGGTCTGGAAGTTGAAGTCTCTCTGTGAGCATGTAGCTAGGTGCCAATTAATTTGAAGTTAGACCAAACACAATAAAACTAGCATATTTTTAAGGTTTTTTTTTAAGACTATTAAGATGTCAAGGTTCAGTGTGCTTGGGCAACACAAGAAATTCTCCAGGCACTCAAGGTGTTCAAGCCGCAGGCAGTTTTAATGGACCAAAAGGAGCAGCAACGTTTCGACCTGCTAAGAGGCCTTTGTCAAGCTGTTCAGTGTGCTTGTCAAACTAGTTCTCAAAGATTACTATGAAAATGTGTTTTTCCAGAAAAACAAGGCCCCAGCCTACCGGTCTTGCTAAGGACAAGTATTCCTATTTATTTAAAATATTATGCAAATGATCAATATGTCATCTATGACCCATACATTATTAAATTACATTAGAGCCTGCTAAAACCACCAGCTTAACATTAATCAGACACTCATGAATAATTTTAAGACACACAACAGTAAAGATTTCCTATTAGATGCTGGCATAGATGTCCAACTTGTGCAGGAGGCAAATATCTACATTTTAATGAGTCAAATTATTCAAACGGAGATTGTGTTTAAGAAAAAGGAAAATATGATGTATTTTAATGAAAGGGTCCTATTAACTAATGTGTTTCTATTTCAGATTTTGTGCAACTTTAACGACAGACAAAAAGGTCAAGTACATTTAGCCTTCCAATTTGGACAAATCCTCCAAATTAGAGGAAAATAAATCCCACAAGAAAATATGGCAATCTCTGTCCAGAACATTACAGCCAACACTGCAGTGGTCATATGGCCATCAATTGCAGGTTGCACTGATAGCTTCTACAGCATCATGTACAAATCTAACTGGAACACAATGCTATCCGAGTATTCAAAGAAGAACTTCCAGAAGGAAGAGAGGATCCCAGCTAGTCGGACGTACTTCACAATCGAGAACCTAACACCACTCACATCCTACATCTTGTGTGTGACTTGCCAGTCTGCCATTCCTTCCAGCGACCAATGCAGGATCTTCCACACACCAGGCCAAGATCCATCATCAGTGAACAGCAAGAAAAAAGAATTGGCTTTAGGCATTTGGCTGACCAGCAGCATATTACTCCTCATCATCGCCTGCATTTTGCTTTATGGCTGTTTGCACATATGGTGGAGGAAACGTCAAGAGCAGAACAGAAGACAAAATCCAGGAAGCACTGAACAAGACAAGAGAGAAGCCTGGACAAAAAATGAAGCGCCAATGGAGGAATATGAGAAGATCGAACCTCCAGAGTCATGTGAAGAAAACTTTGCGGAAGACAAGTGTACTGAAGATGAAAGCCAGGTGGATCCCATCATACAATATCCTTTAACTAGAGACGAAACCAACTGTGTAAATAGCACAAATGATGTTCAAACCAAAGAATCAAATTAACGTGAATTAATTTTGCACCTTCCTTTATGCATCACTTGGCTTGTAGAATCAATAGTTGTTTTTGGTTTGTTGGATTTTATTTTTTGTTAATTTGCAAAGCTTATTGTATTGTTTCCAACACAAACCCCAAGCTAATAGTTTACATCTGATCAATGTCAGATGGTTAATTGAAACAACAAAAAAAGACAATTGTGTTCTTTAAGTGACAGGCCTATAGTCATCATTACAATATTAGAATGCAAAGTAAAATTATGGCAGGTCTGATGGCTACGGTTATTACAAGAGAAAATTGTTGTTCACAAATTAACTCACTTGAGCACAGTTAGGCGTTTAAAAATCAGAAGAAAAGGGAGCGGGAGGGAGGGGGGAAGAAACGTGAACTGAAAATTACTTGAGGCAGTGTGTCTATCATACAATCACCAACCAGACGTGTTGTAAAGAATACCAACAAAACATACGTTGTCTCCAGCAGATATAGAGAAGAGACCCTATGGTTGAAAATTGCATTTTCTTCAGATGTCTATCCCCATAGTGTTGTGCTAAAAAACAAATAAAGGTCTCAATATAATAGGCTTCACAAATGATTCAATAATGTTAGAAAAACTTTCCAAAGGATTTATCTACAGAAGTCATCATTAAATTCAGAGGGAATTTTTGCTGACATTTGGAATGTCTTTCTAACAGTATTAAATCAGTTAGAAAACATTAATTTTAAGGCCAATGTGTTTTGACATTTGTATTATTTTAAATGAATGAATAAAGAACTTTAACAATTGCAGAAAATATGTGTTTGATTCAATTGCGAATGGCAGTTTTACAAAATGACACATTTTCAGGAACAAAAATAGGGTGGAAGAAAAAGAAAAAAATTACTCTGGTAGTCAATAAAACTGAAATGGCTTGATAGGTTATTTACGGGGAAATCGATCTGTATCTGAAGTGTAAAATTTGGAAATAATGAACTCAAGATTCTTATATGGCCAATTTAGAAAGAAACGGAGTGGTCTTTCATTTTAAAAATATTGTGCAAATTCCATTGAAAGCAAACTGGTGTATGCTAAACAATAAACTTTGCACTCTCTAAAAAGTTTGCAATACTGCAATTTTGCCCTAAACTGCATCAAAAGTTGAGAATTTTGCACAACGTTATGTGCATTTTTGTTTATTTCTATGTGTGGCTGTGAGCCGAACTCTGTAACAAAAAAATCTGCCATTTTGTAGATGCTAGGAGCGGTGGAGCCCCAGCAAAAGCAAGTGAATACCAAAACTGAAGTGCAGTCCACAACGAATGTGCAGCAGGTAGAGGGGTGTACAAAAAAAAAAAATCATGCACTTTTTTTTCTCATGCTGTTGCATCAGGGGACGATTAGATTAATGGAAGGGATGACAATACAACTCAAAGATCAATTTTTTACTCTCGTACACTTCATTTATTTCTCATTTCGAGGGTTATTTCAGTGTTCAAGAACTAATTTGAGGGTGTTGGGTGGGCTCATGTTTTCTTGAATTAAAAATAAAATAAATAACTTGTTTATTTCAAAAATACAGTTGATAATCCAAAAGCAGTAATAAAAAAAAAAAAAACTAAATAAAATAAAAATTGTTTTTTTAAATACCAGACTGAAAAATTATAAATACAGAATCCAGCAAACTACATAAATAACACAAATAAACAATCTCATCAATGCCTATTGATTGCTATGCTTCCTATGTCTCAAAAAGGAATAACATCATTTAATCAGAGCATAATATTTCAAGCCCTACATTATTAGCAAGGCCTTTTCAGTTACTTGTTAATGCAAGTCTGGAGAATCCATGGCATATTTAACAGAGGTGAATTTTGACTCTACTTTTAGAACCTGCATCCAAGCTTTTCTCGTTTGTTAATCTGTTGCACAATTCAGTAATGCACACGGCAAACTAAAATGCACTTTGAATATACATTGTAAAACATTGTCATCTGCAAAAACAGTCATATCTTTAAAACGTGTCTTTGTTGTAGCCCATTAATTAGAGACAATGAATTTGAGGACCTTGTGTTCTTCAAGAACTAAAGCCGGGTTTCACAAGCAAAATAACAGGGGCTTCTTTACTCAGTAATGCAGTAGGTGGACATGTATCGTTTTTTGTTTAACAAACATAAGGTACTGCACACACATTTTTACAAACACAAACTCATTGAGCTGTGCACGTGTTATAGAATGTGTTTTGGCCTCTCAGAATGAGCAATCTTTAAAGAATGTATCAAGAACTGTACAAAGTTCCTTATGTAAACCATACTGCATGTTCTAAGTACTTCATTGAGCAGTAATGAAAACTGAAAAGGGTGTGGGGATATGAATAAAAGATAACAGGAAACACACCTGGGTCAGATGCCCAAAGCAGACCTGTTATTCTGAATCCTGGACTGTTGGCAGTTATGTTTATCTACCACATCTCCAGAAATCCCATCTGTGGCTAAATTTGTGGGGCATTCTATTTTATTATCGTAGTGGATCTTTACAGATTAGATAGTTATGATGAGATTATAGAGTCACATAGAAGCATAGACATATATTGTATAAAATGATGAATTGCTAGCGAATGGAAAATTAAATCACCAGGTTTCAACTCCTGCTAAAATATATTCCAGAAAGGTTGAAGCTATTTTATGCTGCCTTCTGTCGCCAGAATTAATTTTTATTTTATTTTTTAAAATAAGTACAGTGTAAGCATACTTCCAGAAATATATCTAAACAATGAAACCGATAAGTCATATAAAAAAAATTACTTTTTAGATTTATCTCTGTCTGTCCATAGGGGTAGATATCATCTTTCATGGATGGAAATATTGGGGTACAACTAAAAAATAAATAAATAAAAACGGCCACTTCTTGAACCTGATAAGTTAAATTTTTTGTGGTACCGCAACACACAGAGCACCTGGTGCAGATATCCAGTATTTTGGTGCTTTAATAGGGCCCGGGAACAACAATTTATAAGTGAGCATATTTAAATTCTAAATCGCATACCAGGCAAAATAAATGAATACCCAAATTGTAGTGTGTACACATGGCACTGTGAGAAGAAACATCCAAGCACACACGTGCTATGCCTATATGTTATTTCTTGAAGACACCATAGTGTGAATGACCTTGCCAGGACCATCATGAGGGTATGGATGTCTCCATGTACAAAAAGTGCTGTGAAGGGAAAGATGTTTTATACTAGCCCCTGCTGCTGTACTCACTCTAGTAAGTACTTCAATAGGGTTTGCAGAGGAGAGGGAATGTGTGACTTGCACAAGTGTGACAGTTCAGCGGTAAAGTTAAGCCTACCGTGAGACTAAGAAGTGTGATCCATACAGAAATGTACCCAGTAAGGCAGAATAGACACCATATTCAGAAATCAACTAGAATATCTCCTTTGGTGTCAATGCAAGTCTGTAAATAGTTGCAATCTAAATTTAAAAAAACAAAACAGATTTTGGGAAGGCTAGCACAAACCAAAGCTGGCAAACAAAGAGTACACCAACATACCTTGGAGCCAAATAAATACTGCGGCTGGGCATTCGGCTGCTTGTCTCGCTGAAATTCCTGAGAGAAAGGCAGCACAGTCCGTACAAACCTGGAGAAGAAAGAGCAAGTAAAGTTCTGGAGCCATTAATTTGCTTACACTGACATTTATGGGAATGAGCACACTATAGAACACATAGGATAGGGTGTAAAATGTAACTTGCTGGCAGAGAGTTACTTGAACTTATATCACAGGGGAGAATGATCTGCTGCACAGTGCAGCATTGAAATAAATGTATAATTTAAAAATAAAACAGAATTCCATGCACGAACGCTATATGTTCACTACCATGAAAACACAATTTTCCCATGTGGTTAACTTTGGCAGAAGAATAATAGATTTTAAGTCACCATGATATGTAGATTCCTTTTGTGATTAAACAGTGTAACTGCTATAATTACCTATTTATTACAAGCATATTAAATGGGGGGGAAAAAAGAGAATATAAGCAAATAAAGATGGCAACTGAAGGGGAAGACTCTGGGACAGTGGTAGACATCCTTTGGCACTCCAGATGTTGTGGACTACATCCCCCCTGTTGCTTTGCCTTCATAATGGCTGTAAGAACATTAGGGGAGATGTAGTCCACAACATCTAGAGTGCTGCTGGTTGCCTATTCCTGCTCTGGGGTATGCATAAGTAGAAAGCATAGCACAAAACATTAGTGACATTTTATTACAGTTATTATTTTAAAGAATGGCATCCTTCAATCTGCTGACAAAATAGACTACTAGAGTGCCTTGAAGATTTAGCTGGAAACCGCTGCTCTGAATGTTACAAGAAAGGCACATCCTACCTGTAGGTGGAACCATTGTAGCAGTAATTGGGAAGAAAATCATAGTTGAGCTCCCAGAAGACATGGAGAGTGATTCTGCCATAAGGAGCAGACACATTATGATTAGCCTCTCGAAACATTGCGTCAAAGCTGTCTAAGGTCAGGTATTTGCTCAATAGTTTGTGTGTCATTCGGTTGACTTCAATAAGTCCGTCAAGCTCCTGCAAACAAAAAACAAGCAAGAATGAATAGTTTGACATCTTTTTTTTTAATATTAAAGCCAACACAGAAAAAAAAAAAAAAAAAAAAAAAAAAGTCAAACATATTGTAAGAACCACCAGTGAATGTAAAATAGCACTTTACACATTAAAAAGAAAAAAAGAGGGGGACGGAGCCGACCAGCAAACTGAGCAGACGTCTCGCTCTGTAGCTCTGTACTGCTAAGCGAAGATAACCCCGCTAACCGGTGATAAAACCGACAAAAAAAACTCCCACCAACTAAACCAACGTGATGGGGAAGCGGACAAAGAAAAATAAAAAAAAAGTAATTTGAGCTCGGGATCCCGAGATATTGGCGACTTCATGCGTGGAGGCCAGCCGCGTGCGATGCCCAAGATGGCGGAGCAACAAGCAGAGGACATGGATACCCTGGATGAGTTCCCTACACTTGGCGGCTTACACCATGAATCATTAGATGAAGTCGACAACACTCCAGCTACAAAAGGAGATAGAAAAACGCTGCTGCGGGACATCCGCTCTATGTTCCAGGCTGACCTGGCCATAGTCCAGGAAAGCCTGCTCACGCTCGCGGGAAGAGTCAAAACAATAGAGGAGGATTCCTCGCACCTCAAGGCCAAGCAGGCCACAGTCGCTGCAGAACACAAACAACTCAAGCAGTCACAGACTATCATGGTGCAGAGGCTCACAGAGGTGGAAGACCGGAGCCGCCAGAAAAATATTAAAATCAAAGGCATCAGTAATGCAGTGGATCACACAGAGCTACCGCACTTGCTGCGACGCCTGATCAAGCACATACTACCCCACAGGCAGGCAAACGCCATACTCATCGACAACATCTACAGGATCCACACGCGGAACCAGCCAGAATAGCGGCCTACCACTGATGTCATAGTGCAATTTGTTACGCACCTGGACAAGGCAGCGGTCAGAAACTCCCCCTCGCTGAAGTTCGAACAACACACACTGGAATTTTATAACAACCTCTCCAGGCCAACAATGCGCTGGAGACCATCAATGTGCCCAATTACAGGAGTGCTGAGGGCTAAAAACATCCCCTACCGCTGGAGCACGACGCACTCCCTACAGATCACCAAAGACAGGACAGTCCATAGGCTTCACTCCCCTGCGGAGGGCCAGCACTTCTTGCGCTCCATGGGTCTGACCCCCTCCGAGAATCGAGAGAGGGACGGACAGCAACGACACCAGTGGGATGTGAATAACATCGCCCCGTTCACACCGAGAGGGGCTCCCACCACCTCAACCCAGAGTCCGGACAGCTGAACCAGCAGAACTGATACAGCTGGACATTACAAAAGCAGGCCCCACTGCTCTCCGAAAGGATCACCTGCACATGTTATGTTACATTGATTAGATAGTTCTGTTACCACTCTCTTTTTCTCGTTGTCACACCCATCACACCACCTACCCCGGGGTCAGAGTGCAGACGCATACTCCCCCACCATCCCCGGCCACGACCTGGTAAGCTGACCGCAGCACAAACACACGGGACGACTGTTACCCTCCTGACCAGCGGCCAACACCTGGCCCCCCTAAGGAATCGTGAGTTAGCCCCAGACAATGCTCAATATTGCGCCCCTTGCCGAACAGTGTAACTGGCGAATTATTACAAGCCCGTGCATATATTGCCAACGTATTAAACTATCCCAAACCAAATGTAGCTACCACTCTAGCAACTACCACTACTTACATGCTGGTACTCCAGAGCCACCCATACACGCCTATATGGGCAACTTAGCTTCCAAACTTAGTACCAACCTCACTAGCAGGCTCCTGCGTTGCCCTAAACGCCTCACCCCAGACATAGGCGCAAGACGCAAGTCACCGACCTTACTTAAATGCGGCCCATACATTGTTGCCGACATTAAGACACCAGTGCCGACTACCCTACCTATGACCGCAATAAGCGGCTAACGGTAAACTAGCCTACAATTATACGCACATGCCCAACCCTCACGCATGTTATTACCCCTCTGGCAAGCACCTAGCTCTTCCAGGGCTGACAGCCCGCTGAAAATGGGCATTAGCTAAGCATACTCACACTGCCCCTCTACTACAAAACCTAACTTAAAAGTGATATGTGATTGTTGCTGCTTTAACATCTGAAGCATAGACAGCTGAATTAATCAGTCCCAGACCAGCTAACTGCTTTACATCAGCCAGATTAGCCATTCTGTCAGAAATCACATGATGCTAACTTGCATCACCGCTACCCTTATAAAATCAACCATGATATCCAAGCTGATATTACTGCTTGTCAAACTGACAACCTTCACCAGTAATTGTTTATCTAGATCGTAAATCCTCGTAAAAATATAAAAATGTGCCAACATGTCAATGCCATATATGTGAACACCATGTTATAAAATGCTCATACTCTGCTATTGTGGCATCGTAAACCTTTATGTTACCTCATGCACACAAAAAAATAAAGATTTAAAAAATAAAATAAAAAAAACACACATGGTGTGTTTCCTGACCTCCCACAGAGGACTAAACTGCAGCAACTTTTACGGAGATAAAAAAGCCCAATTTAGTATCACAAAACCACAACTTCAACTTGGTTGTCTCCCTCCAAGAAAACCAGGGCATGCGAGATGCAAAAGACACATGGAATGACGCGTAAGGAGAAATATTGCATGAGCCACGATGGCGGGTACTGTGAAGCACCGTTGCCTTCATCAGACACGGCGTCGCCATCGGCTACAGGGCTTAAACAGCAGACTTCCACATGAGTACTGCTGACCTCCACCTGGAGAAACTGAAGCCAGTACAGCCATCAATTCATCTCAGAAAGGAACTGCAAACACATCTCCAGCCCCCTCAACATATGAAGAGAGCACCAATGTGGAAGAAAATAGGCTCCATGACCTGATGTGAATAAACACAGAGTTGCTACAACTGTACTTATGTTGGTGAGGTTTGGGACTATTAGATCTGGTTCAGGTGTGCTCCCCTGCTGCATTCACTTGCCCTAAACAGCTCTATCTGTAGTTAGTAACTTCCTAGGTTGTCTTGTTATCTACCCATATCTAGAACTTGTTTAGAAATAGAAATGTCCCTAAATCAGCTATCTAGCTCAGAGTATCAAAGCATGTACTTAAAATGATTATCTCAATGTCACTGTCACCCTGATATGCACATAGTAATGATGCTTGTATGAAGAAATTGCTCCTAGAAACAGGCACCCTACCAAAATTCACCAAGGTCTGGTCAAACTTTGATGAATATTAGAAGACCTTTGTCGATTGGGGCAGTGAGTCCCACTTTCAATTCTATGTTTAGATCTATAAAAGAACTAAAAAAGGTAAGGCCAAAAACATTTTTCAAAGAAACAACACCAGAGCAAGGGGTCAAGATTCCAACCTTCAGGATAACAGTGCATATAAGCACTTTGCAAAAAGCATAGATGATCCATGGAATATACTTCCAAAGGAGGTAGCAAAACAAATACTGTAAAGGAATTCAAGAATACCTGGAATGCATAAAGTTATCAAAAGAACAAATTAACCTTGCCATTTACATATAAAAAGGGCAGACTTGATGGGCCCTTTGGTTCTTATTGGCCATCAAAGCTTATCAGAGTTATTCACTAAAGTGACAATTGTCTCAAAGGAACACTAGACCATTAGGAATACAAACGTGTATTCTTAACATAATAGTAAGATGGTCCCTAGTTAGATTCACTGACCCCCTTTTCCTGTGTAAAAACCTGTAAAAAACTTTTTATAGCAGAGAGACTCCCTTGATGCTGCTCACCTCTCTGCCTCTCCCTTGTCTTCATTGAGGAGGCATCAAATTCTCCACCGCTGGTCCAATACAATACAATTCATAGAGGTGTGTTTAACCGTTAAATATAAATATTGAATAGTCTTCTGTGTTTTTGTATTTTTGCTCAGCAAACTATTCTATCTCCAAGGATCGGAGGATTTCCTTTTTGGTCCACTTGTTAGTGGAGACAAGCTTGCTGTTCTTTTATATGTGTAAGTGCAACCTTGAATTAAATTAGTTACATTTTAATACAATATCACACTATCTGCACTTTTTTGTCCTTTGAGGATCTGCAGATACCTGATGGGATACAAGCGCAAACCATTTAATATCTTGTAAGTTCTCTACCTCCTGGAGCTACGGTCTCATTTATACGTGTTTCACCACATTTAGCATCTTTATTTCTAGATGCTACACCATCATAATAATATCCTGATTCCCAGGTTGTATTTCTCCTGTTTCACTTTCCTATAACCCCCTATTTTTATACTTCCTCTTTTTGGACTGTGTATATTCTGTGTTTGTACTATTCTCAGTTAAATCCTTCTAACAAACAGGATTACATTTCAGCGAATGTAGCTGAAGAACAACTGCTCTGTAACCCAACCTCAAACATCATGTAAGAGTAAAAAGGGCACTCAGCATTTTTGCCTTAGAAGACCAAGTACAATTACAGACAAACATCAATGCCTAATAGTTCTGATTGCAAGTATGTTTAACCAGGATAAACCGGCTTTTAATAGACTATAATGTTACCCATGGCTGCTTTAACACTGTAATATTTTATTTGCTTTTACGGGAACACAGACCAATTTATCCTTTATTGTTGCGGAGAAATTTATAAAACTATCTTGCTCCAAGAAGATGTGTTTTAGCCACGGTTCGCTACGACAGTACATTTTAATGTCAGAAGCACGTGATCATTAGCCCTTTGCATTTGGCCTTTAATATAGTATTTAGTGCCTTTTTTAAGACCATAGTTTCTGTATCTTGCAGAAAATGAAAGCTAAATTAAAAACTGTAGCTAGAGCACCAAGGAGGCTAATGTTCGAGCAAACAGAATGTTGAATTTTTTTAACTATAGAATTTCCCTATACTGTAAATTGTACAGCCGTCAGACATACAAAATAAAAAGTTGCTAATTTAAAGAAAGCCAATTAGTTTATGGGGTAGATGCTTATTGCAAAATTGTCACATACTGTCCTTGTGGAGAACGATGTAACTTTGAGTGCAGTTAAAGACTGTCACATGTTGAAACTTACAACAATAGAGGTCAGATCTTCACTTTCAAATCGTCCAATGGCCAGTTCCAGTGACTTGTACATGGCTGCTGTAATTCTCTGAGTGATCAAACGGTTTAGATCAATTGATCTTCCCAGAAGCTGAAGTAGGAGGAGAGAAGTAAACATTTCCATTTATAGTTCTGTGGATTTATTTTTTTTTAGAAATTAAAAAAAAATTATTTGTAACATATTTGTACAAAGTGTTTAGCAAAGTGGTTTCCCAAATAATAATAATAATAAAAAAATAAAAATTAATAAACATACAAGTTTATAGCCAAATTTGAAAAATAAAATGTTTCATCTTGACAGTTGTGTTATCTGTCAATCCCATGGCACATCGGTTTCTTTTATTGTGTAATGCTACTGTACATGAAAATATAGTTCATCACACATTTTCTAAAATATCACAAATAAAATGGAAAACATGCTGCGCCAAATGACAAAATATTTGCTATAATTAACCAGAGGTAACAGACAAAAATACAATAGTATAAATAATAGTTTACAGTCTAGGCCAGAGGACAGTGCAATAAAAATAATAATGTACAGTCCTATGTGTACTTTTCTTTCTTTTTTGGGGAAAAAGATCAAGCTTCTTAAAGTTGCTTAAGGTGTGTCTGTGAGAACATATATAAAAAAAAAAAAAAATAGATGACAGGAAGGATCCAGTAAGGCAGTATGCCATTTTGTTTGTCATTAGGTGCAACCTGTTTTCCATTTTATGTGCTGCGCATTTCCTTTTAGGGGCCTTTGAGGGAGTATCCTAGCTCCATGTCTGCGGCCACTGTTGTTTCTATTTGTTTGTTTAGTTATTTAGCACCTATACATAATCTTATTTTTGTTAATTGTCTAATTTCTCATGGTCTGCTTTTTTGGCTTTGGTGCTAAAATAAACAAAATAAAAACATGACGACATATTTATATGTGTAAAGGAACACTCAAAGCACCATGACCACTTCGGCCCGCGGTAGTGTCCATGTCCTATCAAACCAGTTTAGTATGGTTGGACAACTTACCTGGGTCCTGCAGGCTACTTACCATTAGAACAGCATCAGTATACTATATCCACTACAGAGGGATGTAGTGGTTATGGTGCTTGGAGTGTTTCTTTATCAATAATATTGTATCAAAAAGAAAAAAGATACAGGAAAAAGAAAAGTTAGACTTGAGAAGCTATCATTCTCAAAATCTTCCAGGTTGTTTCATAAAGGCAAGTTACAGAAGTACTATTATATAAAACCAAGAAAAAGGTGGGGTGTAGGAACACTGAAAGCTTCCCTACTGCAAGTATATAACAGACAGTGGAAATGTCTTCTAGTTTTAGACTATGCACATTCTAGCGACTTGAATTTAAAATGTGGGTACAAAAGTATATATATTAGACCGCACTTCCCATGGGTATAAAGAAACGTACGAGGTGCTGGATCCTAGTTAACCACCCTGCCTCTAGGGATTAACATATTGTCATAAAATACAATATACAAGGTAAGAATTAACACACACATTTAAATAGAATATAGCTTTTTTTTTATTGAGAAAATTTAAATTTTTAGTAACTCTTGTGAAAAAGAGGATGGTTATACTTAAAGGAACACAAACATGTATTCCTCACCCTATGGTGTTAAAACCACCATGTAGCCCACCTCCTGGTCCCACTTTGCCCTGTAAATATAGTAAAATCTTACTTGTATTCAAGTCTGCAGCGGCTGCCTCTGCCCCTGACCCACCTTCTGTCTGCAGACATCATCAGAAATGGGGGTCTGAGCCAATAACAATGCTTCCCCATAGGATTGGCTGAGATAATCAAGGAGGCAGATCAAGGGCAGTGCCAGCACAAGTCAAACATAGCCCTGGCCAATCAGCTTTACCTCATAATAATTAATTGAATCAATGCATCTCTATGAGGAAAGCTCAGTGTCTGCACGCAGAGGGTGCCCCAGGAAGCCATCTGAATAGTGGCCAGTGGAGTTATCACTAGGCTTCAATGTAAACACTGCATTTTTCCTGAAAAGACCGTGTTTACTTCAAAAAGACTGAAGGGAATGATTCTACTCAGAATACAATAAGATGTAGTTATTCTGGTGTCTATGGTGTCCCATTAATAATAATTAAACATCTGTATAGCCAATGTGGAATAAGAAACAAAACAGAAATTACTGTCATAGGACTGAGAGACCACACATAAAATGCACACAATTACCAGTATGTCCTCAATTTGCTACCCAGTCTTGCAATTGTGTTATTGGAGAAAATCTTCATACGTACTGTGTGCAAAGGATCCTGAGATTGGCTCTAGCAATGCCCTCCTGGCTGATCACAGATTGTAAAAATACAGCTCTGTGTAAAAAAATTTTTTTGTGGCTCTCTTCACACTACGTCAGTAATTTCTGTTTTGTTTCTTACCCAACATTTGGAGATTTGTTTCTCATACAGCTGTTTTTCTGGCTATTAAGTAGAATCATGCCTTTCTCGCTAATTCTTGCAGCAATTACTTAAAATTTAAATGTTCACAATTAAAACATAGCTATATTCTAGGTAAATGTGTGTGCAGATTCTTACCTTTTACATTGTATTTTAAAATCTGGGTTACTTGCTTTAGCTGAGGGAACAGTTTGACATTTCCAGTGTAAGTGGTAGAGGTTAACACAGTAAAGGAGTTTAAGCATGCGTGGGATAGGCATAAGGCTATCCTAACTATAAGATAAGGCCAGGGACTAATGAAAGTATTTAGAAAATTGGGCAGACTAGATGGGCTGAATGGTTCTTATCTGCCGTCACATTCTATGTTTCTAAAAGGGCAGTATAATAATAAGGAAATAAATCTGATAGGAGAGCTGAGCTATTTTAGTTGTTCCCCCCCAACACCACATAAGAAGTGAATAAGTCTCCTGTCGACCAAAAGTTAAAAAAAAAAAAAAAAAAGGGAAGTGGTAAAGGTAAGATATGAGTTATCTGCAGGCACCAAAAACTATTATTTTGTTACCAATTAATGACTGGTTGTGCATATGATATTTTTCTCAGAAGTAAAAAAGATACTTATACTTAGTATAAGAGATAAAGTTCCACGTTAAAGAGAATGAATACCATCTGAAAATACAGTATCTATGGAAGAAAAAAAACTATACATAGCGTTATACAGTATAGACAAAATAAATGGGAAGGGGGGAAAGTGAGAAAACTCACAAGACGTCTGCTAATTCAGGCTTATCTCCCCACAATAAGGGGTTATGTATGGAGTGGAAGTTCAGCTGGCAAAAGAGGGCAATGAGTTCAGGCTTATCTTCACCCAGAGTGGACCTGGAGCAATATACTGCAGAAGGTAGGTGGAACAGCAAACAGCAGCCCGGCAACAGGAAGAAAAAAATTAAATAAAAAAAAAAACATATTCAAAAGAGGGGAACAATAAAAACAAATTAAAGTCCAACAATTAAATATCCAACGCGTTTAGTCCGATACACTGACTTCCTCAGGGATCTGGGAGCTTGATTCTCTGTCTTCGTTTAAGTATGCTTCTTAATTTCAGACCTTCCGATCAGCTGGCGTTCGCGTGCGTTCCAACGTGGAAAGCAATAAATTTACTGTATAGCATTGTCATTTCCGGTTTGCGTCTGCCCATCAAGCACACAGAAGAAATAACAGACGCGCCCATACATTTCCCCTTATTGTGGGGAGATAAGCCTGAATTACCAGACGTCTTGTGAGATTTCTCACTTTCCCCCCTCCCCATTTATTTTGTCTATACTGTATAACGCTATGTATAGTTTTTTTCTTCCATAGATACTGTATTTTCAGATGGTATTCATTCTCTTTAACGTGGAGCTTTAGCTTTTATACTCAGTAGAAGTATCTTTTTTTACTTCTGTTAGGTGGTGCTGTGAGGTTCATCATAATAGCTCCTTTGTTCACTTTATACCCCTACTAGTGACTTAGTTTTTTCACTGATATTTTTCTCTTATATCAGCCCTAAGAAATGAATGTTCGTGGATAAAAGATGTATTCTCTGTAATAGGATATGGAAGAAAATTATGCCTTTATGTTTTGAAGTATGCCAACAGAGTGCCAATTCATGATTTCACTTACGTTAAAGACAAAGCAGTTTGATAATAACTGGAAGAATGCACTTAAAGTCACAAAAGAAAGTAGCTAAAAACAGAGAAAGTATCCATTTATTAAATTAAGTATTCACAGCCCACTCCAAAGCCTGTATATGTTCTCACCTGGACATGTCGCTGTTTCAGCAAAGTGTCGTACCGGTTGGAAGTTGGTGGAGAAATATTAGCTCCTAGGTTTTTACAATCTGTTCGTAATCGTTTCTCTAAAAGAAGACTGCAAGACATGAGGTACATAAGCACATTGTCCACTAAACTTATTTAAACATTTATGAATACATTTCACTGTTTTAATACGTACCTGCCAGCTACAATTTTATACTGAGCAAATATTTGGTCCGCTAGTTTGTAGACAAACTGGTCAAAGCACAGGTTGACCTGCAGAAGACAGAAACCAGAGATTAAATGCCACTAGGTAGAATGGATTGTCTTATCTGGTAAATGAATAGTCAAAGAGTTACTCCAACCAAAAAACAGTGTTTTTGTTAGACTAACCCTTGCTGTTCTGGTTTTCCCCCCTCAAACTTTAAAAATAAAGCATCGTCTTACCTCTGGTCAAGTTATCAACTCAGGACAATCCTGCAGTACCACCACAGGACGCTTACCGTGAGCATATTGTGCGTGCTAATATCAGACATCTAATATGCACAAAATTGACAGTGACCAGTTTAGGACTGTTATTCCCAGGCTGTGTAATGACTCTGCTGGACGATGAGTTACACCTCTGAGAGTAGAGAGGTTAAATTCTGTATGTGCAGCGTATCATAGCAAAATGCTGCACATACAAACAGCAGACACCATGATCACTTCAAAACACTGAAGTGGACATGATGCTTGAAGGAACCCTTTAACCGCTGGCTTACCAAAGACATATAATCTGATTATCCAAGTGCTAAGCCAGACAAAGATAGTCTCTACCAATCTGATATTTACTTTTGGATCTCCAATTAATGTTAAGCTTCCTCCAATTACAAAGGTCTATCAGGTTCATCTTTCATGTATCTTTGTTTCTGCGCCTTTTTTCAAAACAAGGTGAAAAAGAAAAAAATAATAATTTGAAGGTCACAAAATATGAAAAAATCCTTCATGACAATATGGCCCACAGATTTCTACATACCATATATACTCAAGTATAAGTCTAGTTTTTCAGCACATTATTTGTGCTGAAAAACCCCCACTCGACTTATACTCGAGTCAGTGTCTGCATTATGGCAACTTACATTGCCATAATACAGACCAGGACCGCCGGGCTCATTACAAGCCCGGCAGTCCTGTTGGGGGCTGGCAGAGAGCTGCTCTGGTCAGCTCCCTTCTCCTCCACTGTAAGTCTCGCGCTCTGACCCCGCGGCTCTCGCGAGACTTACAGTGGAGCTGACCGGACCGGAGGAGAAGGGAGCTGACAGGGGCTGCAGGAAAGGTAAGTAACAGCTCTCTGTTACTTATATAATGCAGAGTGTGTGTTTGTATGAGTGTGTGTGTATAATGCAGTTTGTATGAGTGTGTGTGTGTATAATGCAGAATTTGTGTATGAGTGTGTGTGTATAATGCAGAGTGTGTGTTTGTATGAGTGTGTGTGTGTATAATGCAGAGTGTGTGTTTGTATGAGTGTGTGTGTGTATAATGCAGTGTGTGTGTTTGTATGAGTGTGCGTATATATAATTATAAAAATCACAGACTTTCATAGCCCCAAGTTTTACCCTCAACTTATCCACGAGGCACAGCATATTTCACAATTGTTGGTCACAAAACTGCACTCGACTTATACATGAGATCGACTTATACACGAGTATATACGGTAATTTAACAAGCTTTTACCCTACACATGAAAGGAACACTGCAAGCACCATAACCACTGCCAAGTGCTACAGTGGTGCGAGGAGTGTCCCTGTGTACCTCCTTTCCCTATGGAAAGAACCAGGAAGTTTTAGAACAGTTTGACATCTTACCCGACATCCAATGGACACCACTCGTACCTCTTAACTCATTGATGACAGCATACGGCTCTCACTGAGCAGTAGTGGAGGTGGGGAGAGGTGCCCAGTGGGCCACAGGTAAGAAGTCAAACCTTTTAACTTTTGATAATGAGTTGGCTACTTTGGCCTTAAATTTGAAATTCACTTTGAAATCCCAACCGTTCTAACTTTAGTGAATAACTGTGTCTTTAATGAAATCAGACTTACCTCAGCCTCAATTTCATCATAAAGGAACTGCTTCTTGAACTTTGTAAGAGCATAATGTGCACTGTCATTGTACAGATCCAGAGAATACAGCACATATCTAGAATAGTAATAGACACCAAAAATAATGCATTATCAATCCGATTATGGCTCCAACCGTCCTACATACAATTTGTATATTAGTAGGATAACTGACAAACTAATACTAAATAAGAGGAACTAATAGAAATGTAGACCATTAGGGAAGTTTCATGAGTCAAGATTACATCTAAACACAAAATATATGCAGTGCTGAACGGTCACATACAGCTGTACAGAGACTCACAAAGCAATGCTTGTGTTGTAGATCTAGATTTCTTACCTATGTCCCTTTTAACTGTGTGTCCTGTGTCTGCTTGCTTTGTACCAAAAGATTGTTTGTTTACTCTATAGTTTTAATCCCCTCTTTCCTGCCCATCAGCATGCACCTCCCAAACTTCCACTACATGCCAAGGTTCTTTCTACAGAGCCAAACGCTCACACACTCTCTACCTTTGTAAAACTTCCAATGAGCAAAAGAATATACAAAGCAATGATTTCATATAGTTCAGATTGTTATGCATGCATTAAGTTTGTGAGTGTAGAAAAATACACAATGCGTGTAGGCAGCTGAAGGAAGAGTTAAAATAATAAATGAGTGTAGATCAATTGTTCCATTTGGTAAACATTATAGCACCGCACATATAACTAGAAAAGCCAAAAGAGTCATGAGCATGCTTACTCCATCATGGATGCTTCCTTGGTCTCCAGAATATGGTCAGTCAGAATCCAGGGCATAGACATCTCAATAGGAAACTGAATTCTGCGGCCCATAGTCAACTCCAAAAAGAACTCCCTGAACCACAGCTGGGACAGGTCACAGCACTGCTGTAAGGTTTCTTTAAGAGGAAACAAGACAGTGACAAAGACGCAGGCACATACAATATGAAAATATAAGCAAGCACAAGCACCGAAGGCACCGAAAAACAATATGCAGAGGAGAACCAGAAGGGCATGGCTTACAGACTCAAGAAGGACCTTCAGTTAAATAGCTATGTGAATTACTTTTTTACTGCATAAGGAAAACACTGATCTACAACTCTTATTTAATTTTCAACATAATGGTGAACATGGCATGCGAGGGATTGCTTTATGATAATTTTACTGATGCAGCAAGTGACTTCCAAAAAGGAAGTTGAATTCTTGACTGAATCAGACCACACTTAATACAGATATGTAAATATTTTGTTCTTTTGGTATTCTAATCAAATAATATCATCCCATGTCTGCTGTTCAGCTATCAGAGCATTTTTGAGAATGGTTCATCAATAGCTGTAATTTAAAATGTTGGTCAATATTAGTTAATGTGAATTATTAAAGCTAGCTTTAACCCCCTTTTTGGTAAAGCCGGATACAAAAACAAACATTACAATTTTGGGGGAGATACTATAAAAGTAAATAAGGAATATATGGAGCTATTGGGTAACACAGTGTGAATAGGCCACACCACCTGTGGCACAATAGGTGAACCTGCAGTTAGAAATAGAATGCCAGCCAGCACGAAGGTAGGGACTGCAGCCACATCCCCGGTCATCTGGATTGGTGCTTGTTGTGGTAGGATGCAAAAAGAATTCCAATTCGAACGCTGGTGCTTCCACTGTAAAGACCATCTTCAGTATCACTCGGTTACATTCCACTAATAGGAACCAGGGTTTTACAACTGATATGAGATTACCTTGTCAAGGAGTAGCTGGGTTACATGTCTCTTCAAGACCCTCCATCTCAGAATGGTTTGGGATAGATCACGGTAAAAGGACAAGGAGTTGCCCTCAAAGTTATAAGAGGGTATACTTCTGGCAGCTTTCATTATGGCTAACTTATGTGCGCTATCACATCACAGGAGCCTTTGGACTTCGCTCCAAGTAAGCTCTGAAGAGCCCATCTATCAGAATGGCAGAGGCCTTGCGCAACGGCATTGCAGTGAATAAACAGCTGATCTAAGATGGCAAGTTAGCCACTGTGATTGAGTCAGGAATGCCACGGATCTAAATGTGTTTGTGGCGACTACCATCATCCAAGGCCACCTTTCTGAATTGCATAGCCTCACATGTCCCCTGAGGGCCAGTTACGGTGTCAGTCGTTTCAGTGTGGTACCAATTAAGATCCACACTTCCTTCTTCACTGCTTCCAAGGTTGTGTAGCTCTTCCTGGACATTTCCCACCGCTAATAGTTGCTTCAGCTCCCTAAGAAGAGCCTTAATGTCTCTCTTCATAGAGGGGATTGTATCTTCCTCGTCTCAGTAATGGTGGTATAAGCAAATGAAAAGAAGTCCGAGAACAAAGAGTCTTGGGCAGACACAGACTCCATCTTAGGAGCATGCCTGCTCAGGGCTTGGGCCAAATAGTCTCCAATATCACAAGAACATGCAGCTGGTGGGGTCTGCAACTTCTTAGAATGTCTACCCATGATGGTAAGTATCGGATTATATAAATTAAGTGGCCAGTACTTCAATAAGAAAAGGCTTTTGGAAACCAGTAAGCCGGAGCTCGCTCGTGGCATATCTAGCAGCTCCAGGGCTCCACCCCACAGATTTTTTTTAATATCACTATTAGTCTTTCTTGTGGAGGTAGAATTCTCACCAATATTTCCTTTCAAACTTACCTATATTAACAAGCAAAAATAGTTTTATAGTATGTCTAATTTAAAATGGTATTAGCTGTATTTTTTGTAATTTTAACTATTTTAGCCATGGATACATGGTAGAACCATACAAATCATTAGAAATGTTTTCGAAATGAGAATACCTTTTTATTTCTCTGTGTGACCTTACGTAGATCAGTGTTTTTTTGCAGTACTTTAGAAGATGCTAAACATTAAATAAACATACAAAGCAGGTAAAGGGACACTACACTCAGACCTTTACATCCTTTACAGATGCATCATGGAAAGAACATATACAAAATTAGTGAGGGCAATAAGCACAGTTTTCTAGAATAACTCTGTTTACAGAAAATCTAGGATTCTGCCACCAATGTACTGCTTCTGCAATGAGCAGTCAATCCAGGGCCTAGCCCAGCAGGGGTTTTCTGGGATATTTTGTGGAGCACTTAGTTCTGAGGGTATATGGCCAATTACTGCAAGCATGTTGATTCATGAAAAATATGGGTGCAACTACTAGCCCAAGGTCATGGCCAGTAATTTGCATTCATGTTTTTACATGCATTTACACAGTCACACACTTTTTTGGGATGCTCAATGCTGATATACCTACAGTGGTGTCAATGAAAATGACAACCACTACAATAAAAATTCAATTTAAAAAGAAAACAAAAACTAGCATATGGCATAAAGCAAAAACAAAAAAAAAAACAACATTTATTAACGCAGGATGCTTTTTCAGATATATGGCAGCATATTCGCAGATTAGTTTGTCCCTCTGTCCCATGAGATGACGGCCTTCATATCCAAAGTTGAACAGCAGCCCCCATTAGTTTCATTTTTGTTCACAGGCATTACACTACATAAGGTTTCAGATGAGAGAGAGAAAAAAAAAAAAGGTCCGAAAAGGTAATTGTGTAGGGAAAGCTACACTAAATCTTTTAATGTATATTTCATTTTCCAAGTCCTATTAAGAAATTAAAAGCAGCAATGACATTATTTTTGGCTGTGTGGTTAGATGTGTTAGGACATACCAGCAGCACACTGATCACACCACAATCTTACCACTGAAATTAAGCAAATGTATGTAGAAGAAAGATTCTCGGTGGAATTTTTCTATGTCCAATATGGTGGGACCTTCTAGGCTACTCCGTAGTGTTTTCTTGGAACCGCTTTTTTCAGCAATGAGTGACTCTAGCATGGTTCTCACCATGTAAAGCTTTGTCATTAAAAGGGAGAGGTATTCACAGGAGGGCAGGTGCAAGTAAGGGGGGAAAAAAACAACACACAGCACATTAATGTACAGAGATTGGTATCAAAAACACTAGCTACACTGTTCAAAATGACATTCACATGGATGAGAGCTGTGAAACGTATAAACTACATTCCCACAAAGGTACAAAGACTCTGCAGGGATGTGTTGCAACACGTGCATGCATTGTTTATGTACACAAACAGCCGTTTCATTTAGGATAGAAACAGCAGCGTCTTGAGCATTTCAAAGCAGTGCAAATGGGAGTATCGTCTTACCACCAAAGTTTAAAAGAGTTGGATAGGAGTAGGACTCCCTCAGAAATCGCTTTATCACATGCAATAACTTTTCCATTCCCAGAGACTTGAGCTGCTTGAACAGCTCTGCAGAGTTCAAGGACTCCGCCATTGTGCGCACCATGAAGAGCTGAAAACCAACGTGAAAGAGAGATAGGCAGGAGAGGGAGAGCGGCCAAAGTCAAGGAGGAGAAAGTGTTGGTAAAAAGAAGGAAGGAAAAAAAAACAGACAGAAAGAAAACATTAGTACGTTAGGAAGGCCAAGCGACATTTATTTCCACTACCATCCTTCCTTTTTGCTATACAGATATTTATTTGATAAAATTTTGCTTAAAAAAAATAAATAATTTTCAAACAGGAGCACCTTAGATCCTCAACACGTCTATCACAAACAAGGATATCAACAGAATATATATGGTTTGGGATATAGATTTTATGGACAGAGCTTAGTGGCTTTTTTTTTTTTTTAACTTCTGGAATGGTTTTTGTTTTTGGATTTAGTCTGGAAGAAGTTCTTGAACTTGATCCATTGTTATAAAAACTTTCAAATGGTTCAAAAGGAGTCTACTGTAGACAAAGGAAAACCTAGTAGCATGAGACATTGTTTTGTAATGGCAATACATCTTGTTAGTGGCAATCACGCCACAGCTTTGATTAGAGATTTCATATAGAACTGCTGTAGTGGATATTAATGATGCACTGACATGCACAGGGTTGCTTAGTATAGTTACCAGAGACAAACAAGAGCTTATGTGTCCTTAACAGGAAAGCAATATATTGACGACTGTAGAACTGTACCAAGGATTACAGAAGACGTAACACACCCCTCCTAGCAACCAACAGCAAGCCAAAGAAAGACAGAGAAAGAGAAAACATTGGTGGTAATCGATTTTGTATCCAGATTAAAACATTAAATTTTTTTATTTCATTTTTTTTTTTTAAAGATTTAAGGAACTAAAATCATCTTACTCCCACCTCCCTGCGTTTTATAATTAATGAAATTATGTAACATTAATTACAACAAAATCACATTTGATTAAGAAACAATTATGCAATAAAAAAAAAAAATCAAGTGCAAGCATGACCATTAATTCAGCATGGTGATGGACTGCATCTCAGATATTTTAAACCACTTTCATTTAGGCAGGTCAAGCAACAGGGGAATGTAGTTCCCACACATCTAGATTGCCATGGTGAGCCATCATTCACCTAAGGGTTCCTGCTGCATTATTTACAAAAATTCCCTATGCCATCCTAATTTACACAAAATTCATCTATCTAAATCATCAAATACATTCTCTGAAGACCTAACATTTGAACGTTCACATATAGATTATACTAAACTCATATATATATATATATATATATATATATATATATATATATAGTGAAATCTTACTAAGTACATGGAGCTAGAAACTTGCAGAGTCACAAAGAAAGATCAGCATGTAAAAATTGAATTTCAGCCTGCATTCACAGTTCCTGGACTATAATAAACCTGGTATATAAAGTTTTGCTTTGCTTGCATTCCTTACTAAGAATTTCAAAGTAAACCAGTTGCTAAAAAACTTATGGGAAGGTTAGCTTAGAAGTACCTGAGTGCTGGATGGCCCAACAGCACGTCTTGGAACCTTGATATCAAATCCAGTTTTAGGGTCTTTTTCCCCTTTTAGGGCAGGATCATTGAATGGTTCATGTCCTTCCTCCCAGTCACAAACGGTCTTTCTAATTGCTTGGAGCACACTGTTGCAGGGATAAAATGTGTCTGCTCAGATTTGCTGCATTTAAGACACTCTAAAGCTGTTTATTGACATATAAATATCAATGTATTGAAAAGTTACCTTAATATCGTGAACACACAACCTACAAATTGTCAACTTTAATACACTATATGATTTGTTTGTGAACCTTTACCATTAATAACACTCTGATACTCATATATTACATAGTTACATGGCTACACAGCTGAAAAGAGACATGCATTAATTAAGTCCAGCCTCTCTCACATTTATTTTTGCCTTTGATCCAAAAGAAAGCAAAAAAGAAAAAACTAGTCTGAAAAACTTAAAATTTTGCAACAAACTAGGACAACTAATAAATATATATATATATATATATATATATATATATATATATATATATTCTCACCCTTCCTAGGTGGTATGTTGATTCCTCATGCTCAGATCCTCTACCAGAGGCCTAGGAGTTTGAGGGTTCTGAGTAGTATCTTAGCTGTTCCTAGAACTGCACTCTTCTGGACAGCGATCTCAGATGTCCCACCTGGAATCTGTTGAAGCCACTCCCCCAACTTGGGTGTCACAGCCCCGAGTGCTCCTATCACAACTGGGACTACTACTGCCTTCACTTTCCACATCCTTTCAGGTTCTTCTTTTAGTCCTTAGTATTTCTCCACCTTCTCATGTTCCTTCTTCCTGATGTTATAGTCACTGGGTATTGCCATGTTCACCATGACTGCAGTCTTCCGTTCCTGGTCTACCACCACGATGTCGAGTTGGTTGGCCAGCACTTGCTTGTCTGTCTGGATCTTGAAGTCCCACCGGATCTTCGTCCTGTCATTCTCAACTAGCCTTTGTGGTATGTCCCATCTGGACTTAAACAGGTCCAATCCATATTCTGTGCAGATGTTTCGGTACACAATCCCATCTCAGTGTATGCTAACATCTTGAATCCGGCTACTAGGTGCTGGATTGTCTCAGAGATAGATTTTTTCTAGTTTGTTGCAAAATTGGAAGTGTTTCAGACTAGGTTTTTTGCTTTCTTTTGGATTATAATATATACACATACACACACACGATATTTTCCATATGATTTCTTATTTGCATTTTAGATGAACTATAGCCAGCTATTCTTTTGACAAAAAAAAACAAAAAAAACCACAAGCAATATAATCAAAATGGGTGTGTTCCTCTTACCTATGAATTACATTCTTCTTTTTCTTGATAGCTTGTCTCAATGGCTCGCGCAAGGTAATTTGAGCAAAGTCTTGAAGAGCAGCATATATAGTATGGCGAATGGCATGGTTAAACACACTTTCCATCCTACCCATAAGGACTTGAAGACCTTTAATCATGGCAATCACCTAAGTGGATGAAGGAAGATGTAAAACACACAAAAACAAATGCATAATTGTACACCATCTTAGTGTTGTAAATGCACAGCGTCGTCAATTGGCAGAGGTGAATAGACACATTCAGACAAAAAGAATCCCAATCTAGATGGACTAACTACCTTTTATCTACTTGATAAAACTAGGTTTATTTTCACGGCTTATAAACCAAACAAGGGAATTATCTGTTTTTTTAGAGATACATTTGGGATTTTTAGTTTTTTTTATGCCAATGACAACTTTTACTTCCCAAATAAACCTCACAGTCATCATTTTTTTTATTTGGTATAACTCAACATATAGAAAGCACCTTCAATGTCATAAAACTGGCAACAGTTGCAATTATTTTGTTATGGGCAAATGTAAATATTACAAGTTTTAGAATGAAATGGTGTATTTCTTAAACTGTGTACTTTGTCTTTAAGAGATATTGCAAACGGACAAGGTGTTAGAAATGGAACATATTTTTCATAACTGTTTCATTAAGCAATAACCTCAGTGCATAATATGTTTGCTCCATTTTGTCCCAGACGAATTACAATAACAATAATGCATAAACAAGCTTCAAGGCTATACTACGACTCTTTCAGTACACAATATACGGTTGTAACCCCAAGTTAATGGAACGTCCCCCAATCCGGGAATCTCCCACGACTGTACACTTACGACTTAGTATAAACAACAGATAACCTATTCAGACTTTAAGATGCCATCTTGAACTAAGTCAGGAAAATTTCCATGACGTATACACCCTTTAGTTATGGCCTTGTATGTTTGCCAAATTAAGGGAGGTCCTAAAATGAATAAAGTAAAAGAAGTGTTACTTTTTCACATATGAACTATGGTAACCCTAAAATGGAGACACCTAAGGTATAAATAGGGGTACTTTTAAATGTTAAGACACAGAGGAGAGACTTGGAGACAGACGCTGCTCCATCTTAAAATGACAGAGAGGCTGACATGATGACATGTTCAGAAGGGTATGTTAAGCTATTAATGATATTTGCAAGCATGTAATTTAATCTTATAAACTCTGCTATAATGGATTTTATATTTATATTTTTATATAATATCCAAAAAGACAAAACTATTGCTTCCAAGACAATCCTTATTTTATATTGTATTCTCAATTATTTATATATGTTAAATAGAGGATCTCTTACACTATATAAAATTATGGCTAAGATATCTGTATGGTTAGCCCTACTAAGTTCTATGCTTTAAGACATTATAGTGGTAAATAAGGAATAAACACAGAAGGTAGTGTACCTAAAAAATGGGAGAAAAAGTCTAGTGCTGGACTTCTGAATAGAGGATTGAAAATATAAAGCACATTTAAAAAGACCACAGGGTCTTAAAACAAAAAATAACTTTATTTGAGATTCTTAAAGGACCACTATAGTGCCAGGAAAACATACTCGTTTTCCTGGCACTATAGTGCCCTGAGGGTGCCCCCACCCTCAGGGACCCCCTCCCGCCCGGCTCTGGAAAGGGGAAAGGGGTAAAAACTTACCTTTTTCCAGCGCTGGGCAGGGAGCTCTCCTCCTTCTCTCCTCCTCCGATCCTCCTCCTGGGCTGAATGCGCACGCGCGGCAAGAGCTGCGTGCGCATTCAGCCGGTCACATAGGAAAGCATTCATAATGCTTTCCTATGGACGCTGGCGTGCTCTCACTGTGAAAATCACAGTGAGAAGCACGCAAGCGCCTCTAGTGGCTGTCAATGAGACAGCCACTAGAAGATGGGGAAAGGCTTAACCCATTCATAAACATAGCAGTTTCTCTGAAACTGCTATGTTTATAAAAAAATGGGTTAACCCTAGAAGGACCTGGCACTCAGACCACTTAATTAGGCTGAAGTGGTCTGGGTGCCTAGAGAGGTCCTTTAATGTCAAAATAATAAAAAATGGGAATGGATCCAAAAAAATTAAAAACAACAAGAAAAATACATACTGATGGTATAGGATGAATACTGATGTCTTGGAATATAACTACACTCAGCCACAGCACATATCTGTGCTGTATTGGAAAAGGGGGTTTAAATATAGTTGTGCATAAGTAAAGGGGTAATAGAATGAATATATACTAGGACCATTGAACAAAAAAAATCAAATCTGCATCACCTAATAATAATCCAAAGACTTGGAATAATAGTAGAGTGAAATATAGATGAAAATATAGCAATATCATAAAGAAGCAAACTGAGTAGAAACGGAAAAAGGTGGTTAAAGATATAACCCTAAGATTGCCATTAGATACTGAAATTTCTGACAGGAGTTACAGATAGGATTAGTAACAGTCAGAATCAATAACTGATTATCAGTAGAGGCCTGGGATATCAGAATAGGAGAAGACTAAACGTATTAGAACTAGATGAGAAAATAGATTGTAAGATTGTTATTATGCTGACTGTACATCAAAGTCTACAGATGTAAAGTAGTTACAGAAAAAGAGTAGATACTATGTTACCAGCACGTTGCCAATATGTACTGAATACTGAAAATAAATAAGCGTCCTAGATAATAAAGCTTGATGAGCAGAGAATAAAAAAAAAAAAAGAAAAAAAAAAAGGAAATAGATTGGTCCTACAAACTGACTACCCCCGTGCCTTCGGGGGCACCTGAGTCTAACCCCGTGGAAAAGTGAAAAGGTCCCTAAAAGATCATAAGAAAAAATAATAAACAAGTATGATAAGGAGAGACGGCTTAATAACGCCCTAAGCCCCTGACGCGCGCGTTTCGCCCACTAAGCTCGTCAGAGGGGAGATTAGTTATATTCCAAGACATCAGTATTCATCCTATACCATCAGTATGTATTTTTCTTGTTGTTTTTAATTTTTTTGGGATCCATTCCCATTATTTATTATTTTGACATTAAGAATATCGAATAAAGTTATTTTTTGTTTTAAGACCCTGTGGTCTTTTTAAATGTGCTTTATATCTTCAATCCTCTATTCAGAAGTCTAGCACTAGTCTTTTTCTCCCATTTTTTAGGTACACTACCTTCTGTGTTTATTATTTATTTCCACTAGGGGTTACCCCCCTGTTTTTAGTGTACCTTGGCTGCATGTGAGTAGTTTTTAAGTGGTAAATAAGGGAACCACCTGCGATTACAATTTTAGCCGGCAGGTTAGTCTGTTCACATTAATAAAAAGACAAGAAAGGTACCTACTTCAACCAGAGCAAACTTCTCCTCGCTTGTGTAGTTGTACCGCGTGGCTCTCTCGTATTCTTCGGCATTGTCTGGACAATCTTTGTTGGAATATTTATCCGTTGGATGCACGAGCTTCCAAGAGTACTATTTAACAAAATCAAACAAAAAATGTCATGACCTTTTTATAACCGAGCACTATAAATAGATAGTATATACATGAATACATGGGATATATACAATTAATGGATCTGACAGATGAGGAACATTCTAAATTTACTTGTGGAGGGAAGATTACTGATCAAATGATGGCCTCCAAGCCTGCTTGTCAATACTGAAATATGACAGTTTGTACATAACAATATTGTTTTCAAGAACATGATTACTCTAACTGATATAGGAAGAGAAATACCATACTAATTTGCAGAATATTTCAGGACTTAATCCTAATCGAGCACTAATAGACTGTGACACCCTCCACAGCCACCTTAGAGAAATGGACACTTTCTGTTTTTAGCAGCTTACCAGTGATTTCCAGTGTTCCTGAGCAAATATTACTTTCAAATATTACTTCTGCAAAGTGACATACCACTTCCATGACGTGAGCACTCCACTGAGACAAAAGCTGCAGTCCTTGCAAGGACAAATCAAATAGCTTCCTATATTCTCCATCTGTCTTCTGGGCTTCCTGGCGGCCAGATCCAGTCACCACCTTAGGCAAAATTAATAATAAGAATCAAAACAAGTTTTTTTAAGTCCTAAATTATACACAACTCCTAAAATATCAAGCAAGGGACACAACATCCTTTACTCTCCCTTCAACCTTACAATTAGGTAGACCTATTTGGTTCTTTAAATAAATAAATAAATAAATAAATATATATGAGAATGATATAGGTTTTTATTAACCCTAGACTTAATTGATCTCACTGTATTCACATGTACTGTAATTTTTGTTGTAAGTCTATCATTCAGTAAAACAGAAGGAGAAAGTCAAGCTGAACTCACTTCATTATTGCTGTAACGGGCCAGCTCTGAGATGAAGCGCATGTGGTCATCCCTTATCGGAACCATTTGTTCACAGATGTTGTACTGTGGACTGCTGCTGGATGAGGTACAGGTCCACCTGTTTCAGAATACCCATGAGAACAATATTTAGGCAATGCAGACTAATTATTTCTTGTAATCTCTTTCACACATCTTTTCACAATGATTTTCGTTTTGGTAGAGCAATTGCCATGAGCATGCACAATGGTTCAAAAACCAGGTGTTTCTCACACAAATCCTTAGTCCCTTATAGGACAATGATCTATATATTAGCAAGCATACTTTTTTGTTTTCTAAAAGGAAGGCTACCCAAAACAACCACAACCCACCATATATACACATAAACAGGATTATCGAGAACTGTTTAAAAAAAGTGATCCCACTATTCGTATTAAAGTCAAGGGGTGATTCATGGGAGCTGTAACTCCGGCTACTTACCCTATTACATAAAACATTTGCTAAAACACATTTTAGGGACAGAGTCTTTTACCATCTCTGAAAATGACTGTCCAAGGCCAATTTTGTCATATCAAATGTAATACCATCTTCAATGCTCAATCCCCATTTCTTTGCATCATTTTTTACATTTAAATATCCTTAGGGAAGTTCTATGGGGAAGAGCACATCATGACATATAAAATAAAAAAGCTAAAATAGATCTACTGGTCTCAGCCTTTAACCCCTTAAGGACACATGACATGTGTGACATGTCATGATTCCCTTTTATTCCAGAAGTTTGGTCCTAAAGGGGTTAATGCCAATAGAGTGGTCAATTCGTCTCTCAATCCATGCCAAGGGACTGAATAATAAAAGCAGCAGTTTACTTTAATCTCAGGAATGTCAAACATGGGGTCAATTAAACCTTCCAATAAAATATCATCCCTGGTGGCACACAAGCATTCGTTCATACACCTGCTTCAATATATTAAATAGAGAATAAAAGCTACACTCACCTGGACTTGTTCTCCTCATAATGTGCACTGGTTTTAATGTATCTCGCCAGTTCTATTTGCATGTCTCCAAACAGTGGGACCACCTGCAATTGCTGTGCAAAAAGACAGGATAAAAACAGGTTAGATCATTAGAGATTTTGTTTTGCCTGAAACTGCAGGAAGCAAGGTGAATTGTTAGTGTAGGACCAGAGATTTGCCTTGACGTGGCAGATGAGCTTACATCTAATGGCCATTGGAGTGGAACTAAAAACCTCCATTTGCATAAATAGGATAGGGATTTGGAATAGTGCGCAAGTAACTTTTTTTCCTTTGTTTTTTTATTGGATGTATTGGGGCTGATTTGTACTATGGTTATTGCTGCTGATAAGGAGTAGTGGGAGTCACAGCGCAGGACTTATTATTGTGTATTTGTATCACATGAGAATAGCCCTCATACCTGACTGAATTGGTTTCTTTGGTAAAAACTCGCTGTACCCTTAGTCTGTCTGACTAATTAGGAGTTCGTGGAAATAATAGTCATAAACAGCAGTTATTGTATTTTCACAAATGTTGACAGCAACAGGACGTTTCCATTTTCACTAGGGCATTGATCAAACTACAGCCTGGGAAGATTGAGACTATAATGCTTTGTTTTAACGGTTTGTAATTTGTGTCCATGTTAAATCCAGGCATCATTAAAGGAATAACAGGATTGCTCCATGTTATTGGTACACGAACACAAAAGGTATCGAACGACGAAAGTAAGGGAACAACAGAAGAGGCACAGGGCAAGGTCTTGATGTCATTGTCTGACTTGAAGACTACACGTCCCATACCCTATGATATTTTGACATGGGATGTGTCAAGTTTCATAATGAATCTCCAACACTCTGCTTTCCTAAATATGAAGATCATACCAGTTTGCTTTGTTTATAATTGTAAAGGTCTCACTTTCTGGGTTGTTAGGTAATCAGGTTGGATGGGACAAGATCTTTATGCATAGATGTAAATACAAAATATTGTTCACTACAGAGGTAGTGCAAATGGAAATAGAGCTTTCACGGTGAACCTCACAACACCACAAACAAAGTTAATGTTTGTTAAAGAGATGTAAATACATTTTAAGATACTTCCCTATTTATGAAGGAGTTTCTTTTCATCATACACCTTTGATCTTAGTACTAAATGAATGCATTAACTAGTAGACTTTAAATCCATATACTTCTACCCACTGTAGAGATGGTTTTCAAATAAGAACCAGTAGAGGCCCCCAATTAGTCTTATTTTGGCAACGGAAACATAATCCACAGCATTTTCAATTCTATGCACGTTAAAAAAAAATCTTTATTCTATTTATATATTGTTGTTTTAATACAGTTGCTTAGAGTGTCGCCTATGATCCATCCTACACATTGTATAAGTAATACAGCATCATGTTTGAACACAACTAAGTTATCACTCTGCCCAGCTACCTTGAAGAACTTATCTATCTTGGTCAGGTTTATTCTTTTCTTGGCATCCAGTTTATAGATGTTGCTCACACTCCCATCCATAAGGTACAATCCGAAGCCCATCACCTAGAACAAAGCAATATTAAATTATGTCAAAAGAAACTAGTATACAAATATGTACAAAGAAAAAAGTGAGATCTGAGCATTACCATCTGGCAACTATTCTAAGAATTGTATCTATTGGAGACTATAGTAGGGAAAAGAAAACATATATTACAGATCCCTTTCAAAATAAATATTGGTCTGCTAAGGTCTTTGTACGAAGGCAAACCTGTTCATTCTCACAAAAGCTGATTTAGATGTTATTACATTATTAGTTTAACTAGCTGCAGATCAGCGTGAAATGAAAGAATTTTGCTCTGTATTTAAGCATCCCCTCTGCATGTGCTTTATATCTGCAGAGTTAAATAACTAATTTCCACTAACAAGCTGTCCATGCTAAACTGATAACAGTGGATGGAAATGGTTTAAAGTAGACATGCAAAACAAATGTACTTATTTGTATTATTATTAGCTTGTGAAATCAATAAATATGTTTTACAAAAACTATAGTGTGTGTCATCAGTCTCGGTGTTGGATGGGGACATCTGGATTAAACGGACATCTTTGTATATGCACATTTTATTACTGATGCATGAGACGTGCATAGTGGTTGATTTACAGACAGGATTCACACAGTTAAGAGAGACAATTCTAGGCAAATGCAGCAAATAAAAAAGGGGGTATATACACATTCACTGCTAGCTTATCATCCCTGTACAAATGTGGATAACAATGTAATAGAGCAGCAGGACATGCTAGCAGAATGCTTGGTTGTATAGGGAGAGGTATTAGCAGTAGAAAGAGGGAAGTGCTCATGCCATTGTACAGAACACTGGTGAGACCTCACTTGGAGTATTGTACACAGTACTGGAGACCGTATCTTCAGAAGGATATTGATACCTTAGAGAGGGTTCAGAGAAGGGCTACTAAACTGGTTCATGGATTGCGGGATAAAACTTACCAGGAAAGGTTAAAGGATCTTAACATGTATAGCTTGGAGGAAAGACGAGACAGGGGGGATATGATAGAAACATTTAAATATATAAAGGGAATCAACACAGTAAAGGAGGAGACTATATTTAAAAGAAGAAAAACTACCACAACAAGAGGACATAGTCTTAAATTAGAGGGACAAAGGTTTAAAAATAATATCAGGAAGTATTACTTTACTGAGAGGGTAGTGGATGCATGGAATAGCCTTCCAGCTGAAGTGGTAGAGGTTAACACAGTAAAGGAGTTTAAGCATGCGTGGGATAGGCATAAGACTATCCTAACTATAAGATAAGGCCAGGGACTAATGAAAGTATTTAGAAAATTGGGCAGACTAGATGGGCCGAATGGGTCTTATCTGCCGTCACATTCTATGTTTCTATATGTATTACTAGTGCAGAAGTGCCATGGATTGTAGTGTCTATGGTGCTTAGACTGCCCCTAAGAAAATTGTATCTAGTATAATGGAACTGTACCCTAATCTAGACATTTTCCTATACTTGTGGGATCGGAGACTAAAACAAAACAAAAAAATGTAAAATAAATGCTCTAAACCGGCTTTAAAAACAGCGCTGTAAAATAAAAGTGTTTGGCATAACTTTCCCTTCAGTGCAGTACAAATCAGCTACTATGTTTCATCTTCTGTAATATTCAGTTATCCAAGTAGAACAATACAAGCTGGAATCAATACCCAAGGCTCTGTGTAGGTACCATAGCACACAATAAATAAAGTTACAGTTCTAGTAAAGAAAAACAAACTCTTTCCCTAATTACCCCCACAATAATAAGAAGCCATATGGTCCCTTACCTTCAGAAGCATGTGTTTCTCTCCAGGCGTCAGGTACATTTTATTGTCATAGTAGTCAACACACAAATTCACTATGTCAGCAAGAAGCTCTTCATAGCCTGGAATGACTTCCAGCTGTTGCTGCAATGACTAGATACAAGAGTAAAAGAAAATTAGGATGTTTTGTTAACACCAATATAGCGGATGTACTAAAAGGCAAAAAGTGGCTATGTGAATAACAGTGGGTCTTTTTGGGATTCTGTTTAAAGGGACACCATAAGTGCCAAGAATGCAAAGCTGCATTCCTGGCACTATAGCTCCCTCTGCCTCCCCCCTCTGTTCCACCACCCCCGCCGTGGTAAATTAAGGGTTAAAAACCCTTTATTTATTTACTTACCTTACCCGAGCGCCAATGTCCCTCGGACGAGCAGGCGCTAATGCGCATGCACGGCAAATGCAGCTCGCACATTAAACCAGGTCATAGAAGAGCATCGAATCAATGCTTTCCTAAGGTGAAAAATTGACGCTGGATGTCCTCATGCAGAGCGTGAGGACGTCCAGCATCAGTTACCGGTCCAAATGTCTGTTTGGATGCAGGAAGTGCCCCCACTGGGGGCAGACTTCGTGCTGAAATGTAAACATTGCAGTTTTTCTTGAACTGCAATGTAACAGTACAATGGAACTGCACTAAGTGCAATTCAGACACTGCACCCAAACCACTTCAAAGGAAACTATATTCACCAAAACAACTTAATGAAGCAGTTTTGTGTTCATTAAGCTAAAGTTATTTTGGGGACTATAATGTCCCTTGAAAAATGCATTACCTCCTAGATGCAGTACAGCCATCCACTAGAAAGAAAGCATGTTATTGGCACAGTGAGCAAGATGTATTGGATTCCATATACACCACCCTGTACTTCTTTCAGTATTCCATAGCTTACACAGGACAGATAATGAACACACAATGTGATTGTATGTACTTTTTTGTCTTGCTTAAAAACAACTATATCCTTAAAAGAAATTTAAACACTGCAACCTTTCCTGCAACATCTCCACGCAAGAGTGATTCACTTCAGATGGGGGACACCGCAAGCTATACTGTCCACGTACAACAGACTTTATACAGAGCACAGGGCTCTCAAGAGCTGGAATCGCACCTAAAATCTGCGGATATACTGCAACCCTCAATGACACCTGGAACAAGCCTGTCCCAGCTGAACCCGCCACCATTTGGGAAGTCACTCCTAGAGCACTTTAGCAAGCCTCGATTACCAGACCACCCACCTGAGGAAACCGAGGCTGACCCTCTAAAGGAGACTTATTTCCACCATTATCACTCACCATAAACACCACAGTGAGAAATTGCTTTGTTTTTCCGTTTTATTTTCTTTTCTCATTCGCTTACTTTCCTTTCAGTGTTTATTAGAATGCAATCTCATTTATTCATACTGTCTCTTATGCAAGTATCATGAATACAGAGGCTCACTGTAAGCCTTAAGACACTGCGACACATACCCAACGCATCTAAATGCCGATCAGCCACACTCGATTGATGTTTTCATACCCCCCTCCCCCCCCCATGGCTATCTAATGGTTGGCTCCACTTATAAGTACACCTACCCCTCAGTGGACATAACTTAATCTGGCAATTGACACCCTTATTACATCCACATAGGGCACACTGGTTGTTTTTCACTTATATCTCTTATAATCTAAATAGGTTACAAAATACATGCTGCATGTGCTATGTCCTAATGTTTTTTTTGATGTTATACCGTCCCACAGGGACATCTCATTGTATCGTGTTTGTTATGCCAATGTATATTGAATACCACACATGCAGTGTGACAAAAATAAATAAAATTTAAAAAAAATATTTAAAAAAACACCATGCATAAAAAGAAGCAATAAGCCAAAAAACAAACCTGAGTGATCTTGTTGTGATTGGCAAGAAACATGGAGAGGTTCTGAGATTCCTGAATAGACTGCGGGTCTGCCATTTTTCGTAAAAACTGCGCCGCTCTATGTTATAGAAATCAAACAAATTACACTAAAATTACAGGATTAAACAAACAACAATCTTAATAGCCAATAAAATTTGGTTGGAGATGTTGAGCTGTGTTAATAAATATTGATCATTCATGGTTTAGAGGTGGATGGACCAGGTAAGGTAAATCATATGTGTTATATTATGTATAGAGAAGGCATAAAATGTCAAGTCCTATACTACTAGCCAGACCTTTAAAATTACTATCCACTACAAGCCTGGTTAGTGTAAAACCATTGTTTCCTTAGTCCAAAGCCCACCATCAACTTGGCCACAATAATAATACATAATTAACACATCCACATTATCAATATCAACTTAAATAACCTAGCAGTGGTTGACAGAATGTTGCCTCTCAACTAATTAATGCCATGTATGACATGAACATTTATAATGTGCCAAGGAGGGAGCAGTCTCCAGGAAGGGCCACTGTTTATGTCAAAATGCTACGAAATAATCTAGTATGGTGCCAGGACACTGTATAAAACATAACCAATACAACTTGCTGTACTGGTTATGCTGCTTTGCATGTTTCTTTACCCCTCTCAAGCACTGCTTTATAGGCAAAACAAGGGTTTTGGGAGATGTAGTTCAATTGCCCGCTTCATCCTGTAAAAGCTAACCGGGGTTTATCAGCAGTGTTCTAGTCATCAGCCTATGAGTAAGCCCATGTAATATAAGGCAACATTCACTTCTCATCTTTTTTCATTTGGTTTTAGATCTTTAGACTTTCATTTCTAAACCATACTACTCAAGGAGAAATTAAAATCCTACCTTTTATAGGCTGAATGATCATTTTTCACACTGCACTTCATGTTTTTTAGCTCATCCAAGACCGCAAACATATTGATGAATTTGCCAAGAGTCAGAAGATAGGCTTCAGATACAAAGTCCTTCCTTCGTTCCGCATGACATAGTCGCTTTACTTCTGTGCAAAACCGTTCAGTGGCACTCCTCTGTAAGGAATAAATATACAATATATACCTCCTCTGTAGAGGCTCCCGACCGGTAAGAGACTGGAAGGGGGCATTCAGAGGAGTCTGCACCCAGCCAGTGGATCACATCTTACTAGCAGCTAACAAGGAAAACTAGCAGGCATTTCTGCTGCAATTACAGAATCAGATTGTTATTCAATCAAATGCTTCACATAGAGAGCAGTTGATTGGTGCAAGGTGGTGTTTTGCCTCGCATGTGCATTATTCTTTCCTGTGGGGCAACCCAAAACATTGTGCCAAGTACCTGAAAGTACATGAAGTTCATCAGCTTTGTAACTTCTGGTTCCAGTACTTCTACTGTCTTCTCATAGATTTCCACCCGATTTGGTTGCTCATTGCATTTAACCTGCAAAGAGGTAAAGAGAAGCATAAAGCAGTGTTGAACACAGGACAACAAAGGGGGGATACTAGAGGTTCTGTGGCAGACATCCGCAGTCCTTGAGGTAGAAAAAAAATATTTCACAAGCACAACAGTGTAGTGTGAAATGAAACAAATGATTAAACCATAAGGATAAATATAGAATGCTTCGGCTGCTAAGCCTTAATTGTGTACATGGCTACGGCCCAGAAGTCGAAACGTTGTATATTTGTTTCTTTGCCCCAATGGTTTAATGCCTGTGGAATATTTTTTCTAGCTAAACAGAATATTCAATGCTTTTTAAGCCTTTTATTTTAAAGGTTAACACTACTGGAGAAAATCAGGCTAAAGTTTAAATTTTCTACTCTTAGCAGTTACAAGAACAGACATTTTAGCAGCAGTGCCAGCCCTTTACCTAAACAGAAGTACATATATGTTATGAAACTCAAATTTCTGGTTGTTACAGCAAAGTCAGCTTTTCTGAAAGCAGAAGCTCATTCAGGTCCAAGAAAGTCGCAAAGAAAGCAGTTGACATGGCAGTTTCTATGAAGATTACAACAAGGATGATGATGTGCCATAAGTATATGAAAAACACTGCAATTCTCATCGCCAGCCCTTGAGGCACCAACATTAGCTTATTTACAACACAGCAGAGAGAGACAGAAAAAAAAAAAAGCAATTATCACAATTCATTGTTAATATAGATCAACAACAACAACAACCCAACATAATTTAAAGGATCACTAGAAGCATCATAAGCACTACGGTGTTGCAGTGGTTATGGTGCCGGTGCTTATGGTGCCAGTTCCCCAAATGTAACTAGTTAAACCAATTTAGATCAGTCAGATGTCTTTCTAGTGGCGGTCCGCCTGGTGCTTGAGGTAAGCCCATTTGTGCAGGGCTTAGCTCACTGGCCGAGAGCACCATAACGACTACAGTGTGCTGTAGTGGTTATGGTGCCTGGATTGTTCATTAACTTCCATGGAAAATGCAAAAAAGGTTACTAATAACTATAATAATTTGCATGATTCATCTGTTATTTTCCACTTTTAAAATTGTCCGTAGACGGTCTATCACATCATGCTGTTAGAAACTATGTCAGAAAGAGGAAGTGGCAATTTTGCAGACAGCCACAAGGAAACCCGCATGGAGATGCAGTCTTTATGGACAGCAACTTTAATTGAAAACCACTTAAGCGTAAAGTAAACCTAATTACATTACCTGCGGAATGGCTCTGGAGCAGCTTCTCCATGTGTACAGCATGACTGCATATTCATGTCCCTCTTCCAGCATCACATTCTGTTTTAAATAAGAAAAGGTTTAAGTTAGGACATTTGATTGCAAATCCCAACATCAAAAATGCAGCTTACATAGAGTTGTATACTGCCTTTATATTTCAGGAGATGGCTAATAGTACTTATCAGCCCAAAATATGATCCTTTCTGGTAATGAAATAGGTTGGTAGAAAAGTATTCACTGAGAATTTGGGTTATTTTTGCCAGTTGCAGGAGAGGAGAGTCAATAAAAAAGCTGGACCCATTTCCAAATATAGTTTCTGTCAACATTCACTTTCCTATTTCAATATGAGTATTATGATGTGAAACCTAAAATACTGTACTTATTCTCACAGATAATGTCTACTCTGTCACTCTGGGATGTTGCGTTCTGTTTTTGTTGGCCCATCCTTTTTGTTTTCAAAATTACAGATATTTTGTTGTCCTGCAGTTTTACTTCTTTCTCGCTGTTACTTGCAAAATGCTTTTCTTAAAGGAACATTATAGGGCCAGGACAGAGGCATTAATAGAAACCAGGGGCGTAACTAGAAACACACACATTGATGGCAACTACCTAATTACAGGGCAAAGCTCTGTGAGAAGGTGTTAACTGGAGAATAACACAGAATAAATTAATGTTCATCAATTGTACACTACACCTCACACCACATGTGTAAATGATCAGAAAAGTAATCCAAAGCCAAATGGCTATACCTCTATCTACTCAGATAAATATATAGTGTATAAATTGCCCTGTAATTAGGTAGTTGCCATCACTTTGTTAACAATTAGGGGTCAAGCCCCAAGACATCACTGGAGTGTCTTTTTGGTGTTTCAGTTTCAGAGTAGGGGAGTCTGTACTAACAGACCTCCCTACCCTGTTCACGGTTCCTCTAAATACAGACACACATACCTTTCCCTGGGGTCCAGTGGCTCAGCCTGATGGGAGTCAGAATTCCCACTCTGACTCCCTCCTCTCCTTCCTACCGTGCGGCTCCAGGTGGTTGCTGGAAGGAAGTGACCAGGCAGTCACTTCCTCACAGCTTCTGACATCATCAGAGGGGGCCCGGTCGCACCGGGGGCTGGGTCGCGCTGGATATACATAGCATTGGGTGGCCCTATCAGCATGGGCCACCCAATGGGCCCCTTCAATGCGGCCCGACAGTTTCACCGTGCGGGCCGGGGCCGCGTTACTTAGTCTGTGGTTACATGTGCATTATCTTTATGTAGTAATGTGTGTAATTAGTATTACAATAAAATATTAATAAAAACACGTCAGAATTTGAAAAGCATATAAATGCATAGTAAGTTAAAGTGCATTCCATAATAAAGTAAATAATAAAGTAAGGCAACCATATGTAACTGTATGGTACAACTCCAATGTAAAGATTGCATACAATGTTAACTTACCATCTTGGAATGATCGTCTGCTTGTTCAATGTATCTTGCAATGCCCGTGACAAATGCATTTCGATCTTCAAAATTAGTGTTAAAATTAGGCTGTGGGAGAAATGAGGAAAACACAATAATAATCATATATTCTTCTGAAAAAGACTAGGGCTACTCAGGACAAGGTGAAAACTTTTGAATATGACAGGGAATTGCATATTTAAAGGAGCACTATAGTGCCAGGAAAACTTAGGTCCTCCCCCCTCCCTTAAAACCCCTTCAGCCACTTATCTTAATTCAGCGCTGGGCTCCCTCTGTGCTGGTGACCTCTCCTCCCCCTGCCGACGTCAGTTCAGAATGCACATTCAAACCGCCCATAGGAAAGCATAACTCAGTGCTTTGCTATGGACGCCCAGCGTGTCCTCAATGCGATTTTTAGCACTGGGGATCGCGGAAGCGCCTCTACTGGCTGTCTGGGAGAAAGCCACTAGAGGCTGGATTAACCCTCAATGTAAACATAGAACTTTCTCTGAAACTGCTATGTTTACAGCTGCAGGGTTAAAACTGGGGGGACCTGGCACCCAGACCACTTAATTGAGTGCTTATAATGGTCCTTTAAGGTCAAAAGAGTTACACTGGAAATTCTTACTTAAAAAAATATATATATTTATTCTTAAAAGTGTTACATGAAACCAGAGAGTTTATTTGGTGATCCTTAAAACACTGTGCTGGATAGAAGGATAGTGGTACCTAAATATGTGTATTTTGTATACAGTCTTATATACTATATAAACAGTCTTGAGTGAAAGCTGATGAGGTAGGTTGCATTTAATTTCAACATCATTGGAAATGTCAAATTTAAGTACTTTTTTTTTTTTTTTAAATGCCGCCAAATAAATGGGCATACAATACATACCTGGTACAAAAGTGAAGATGGAGGGGGTTCAATACAAGGCTGTTGGTCAGGTAATGGCAACTCCTCCAAAAGATCTACATTGGACAAAGCATCCTCCAGCGTCACTTGAGTCGTCATTGTGAACCTGTGAATGAAAGCCAGTTATTGAGCTGAAATGTTTATAGGTGTAATTCTCTATAGCAGTTTCCCTTCAAAGACTGCATAAACTGTAACAAAGTAATTGGCAAAGCTAAACAGGTGTCAACCCAATAGTACATTTCGGATCAGGGAGATAAAAAAAGCCACAATAAAAGAAACCATTTCACTAAATCTAATCTTAGCAGGAGGGTACTTTAACTATTAGCAAAAGGCACAGGAATGCTACTACAGGGGATAACTGTAATGAGCAACCGCGGTCAAAGTTCTAAAGGCAGAACAAACAGCAGAACATTGTATTGTTCACAGTGATGGTTCCACCATAATACATTTTCCCTGTACTGCCCTTTATACCAAATCCCTGATATATGTTAATACAGAATGAGAGCACCAAAAACAATGGCCTTTAAAATGATACATGATAATCAGCTCACATTTTAAAAGTTGCAGTATACCATGAAACAAGGTTTTCTCCTATACGTACACATAGTTACAACTGCAGTGCAAGATATGAAAAGGAATATACAAATGTTAGTACACTATGCTCTGGCAAAAACAATGCTTAAAGTGGCACGTACTGCAGGTGTTTCCTGTATATTAAGATGCTAGACTTATATTTACTTAAGATCTTTTTGCCATATGCGAGTTATAAATCGAGAAAGTATCGTGCAGGCAGGTACACTTTTAAAAATCTTTTTTTTTTTTTTTTAAATATCACGATGGGAGAGTTACACTCCAAACAACAACTCAAGCGTTATGGCACTAATACATCCAGTTCACACCCTGTGCAGAAGAAACCAAAAACGGAACCAGAAGCTTCCTGTTACATATGTTTACTATTTATACATAGCATGCTAATCTTCAGCTCTTTTTACTGACGCGGAAACAATTAACTGTATGAACTTTCTGGGTTCAGCTGACCAACTACATATATGAGCCATATTAGTTCATCTCTTCAAGAAAGTATATTAAAATTGCTCTGTAATCAGAAAGTCTACACGCCAACATATAATTCTTTAAAAACTGTTGCATGTGAATGTGTTACTTTTATTCCATCTATACAGCTTTTGTTTTTTTATTTAATACATACATAAAATCGTTGGATACTTTGGTCACAGCTGTTTCAACAGAGTGAAGAGCGCGGAATCCAAACTGAAGTGGGTCAAGCAGAGAGTTGGATTTGAGAAAGTCTGTCAATCTCGCATACACAACTCTCTCAAGGATCTTGTTGGCAAACAGCACTAGCAATATAGGGCGGTAATTGGATGGGGAGTTTGGGTTTAAGGTTGGGCTTTTTCAGAATTGGCGTTATGGTTGCATGCTTGGAGGAAATGCGCCGGAGGAAAGGGAGAGATTGAAAATTTTAGTGAGAGGAAGAGCAAGAGAGGGAGCCTGGGTGTGGATGAGATATGAGGGAACAGGATCGAGGGGACAGATAGTGGGGCGGGAGGACCGGAGCAGAGCAGAGACCTCTTCCATTGTAGTAGGTGCGAATGAGCATAGAACAGTGGATTGAGTGGGGTTGGGTGATGTATTGGAAGAGAGAGGTTAGAGATCTCTTCCCTGATTGTAAAAATCTTCTCAGTGAAGTGAGTTGCTAATTCTGAGGCGGACAGGGTGGTAGGAGGAAGGGGAGCAACAGGGCGAAGGAGAGCATTAAAAGTTTGAAATAGGCATTTGTGTTGGCGGGACAGTGTGCATATGATGGTGTTGAAGTAATTTACTTTTGCAGAGGAAAGAGCCAGAGTGTACGAGCACAGCATAAATTTTTAGTGGAGGAAGTCAGGTGCATAGTGAGACTTTCTCCAACATCATTAAGCAGTTCTAGGACATTTTTGGAGATATCGGGTCAGCTTGGTGTGCCAGGGTTGTAATTGGGAGCGCTTGTTTGCGTTTAATGTAGAAGGTGAAGCTACAATGTAAAATTCTCATATCTGGGTAATTCTTTACTTCAAATATTGTATAAAGAATGTCAATCTTGTAAAACTGATTTAATAACTAAAGTTTCTAAGCTCTCCCAAGCTAAGCCCTGCAAAGTTTCAAATATACTACACTATAACCTGTTTTTATCTTTAGCATTATAACACAGAAAAGTGAGATTTTTACTTAAAGCTATCCCTAATTAGAAACCACCATCTTAATTTCAAGCTCTAACTTCATCTCACTATTGTAATCTTGCGCATGCAGAGTAAAAATCAGAGGTCTATGGGAGATTCAGCAAGACTGAGGGGGATCCTGCATAGAACCACTTTATCTCAGTTTACTGGTATGGGGAGGCATGCCACACTACCCAGTTTAACTCTGAAGCTTAAAACATTGCCGTTCTGCAGAGGTGACATGTCTATAGTGGCTGTCATTCAGATAGTCACTGGAGGTGCTTCCAACTAGAGTAAAACATGTGCATGTGCACTACTCCCTGAATGCGTTCCTATGGGAAAGCAATGGATTGGCTGAGATCATCGATCTCTGTGATCTCAGCCAAGAAGGCATGCCAGAAGGACAGAGAGCTGCAAAGGGAGACAAACTAAGTAAAAAATACTTTTTCCCCTCACATTGTAGTGAACTGAAAACAGAACTGCAAAATCAGGCTGCAGTAGACAAGCTATAAAAATATTAGATCTGATTAATCTTTCCATATCAACCATTTTTGCCTAAATTTTGCATTGCACTTTTTAATTCAAAATAATTTGATGAATAAATCCCAATGAAAATATTGAAGATTACCATCTAGCAGTCACACACAGGATCATACCAACAATATACATCAACATGGCTCTTTCAAATGCTTATATACATAACAAAAAGAAAGGTGGGGGAAAGTTAATAAAGTAAATCTTAAAAATGACACTTTGTGTGGTGAAAATGATAGTGTGGTCAAAAATCACTCAGAGAAGGTAATTTTAAGCAGAAACCGCATGTCGTACAGAGTGCAGCCATGGAAAGGAAATTGTGGTAGTTGAACACGAGGCCTCAAACAAATGGCAGTCACATTAATGGTATCTTAGGTTCTAGTACTTGCCGCAGGTTTGAAACTCTAAGTTGCCTCACGGTGAACTTTTACAATATATTACAAAAAGTATACTAAAAATACAACACGGTCTAATTAGAGAGGTTTTTAATGGCAAGATTGTTTTTAAAACGGTCTTTTTTTCTTTCTATATGTTTAAATTTGACATGTCACCAACAATGTATATATTACAGTTGCCCAGCATGCAGCTCTGTGAAAAATATATTGGCAGAGTAAATACAGTTACTAAAATAAAAATTATAATATTATGAGTGTATAATATACGGGAAATAATATATTGCAACCGCATGCATTAGGCAAGGTTTACATTTTACACTCGCCTCCAAATCTCTGGAGAATAAAAATGTAACACTGGCGAGTAGAAATGTATCCGTAATGTGAACACCATGGCATAGGACTTCAAATTTTAAAGTCTTGCGCAAGGTAAAAATAATGGCATACAGAAACTACATTTGCTTTAACAAATAGTACTAGTCACTAAAGCGTTAATTACTGAATACTCAAAGAAGTCAATTTCAATTTAGTACAAACATAAGTTTTGCTAGAAGGAACATTATAGTATTAGGAATACAAATACGCATTAGTGCCCTATAGTGTTTACTTACTTTTCAGCCCTCGCTGAGCAGGTTTCCTCTGAGAAGCTTTGCTTCTTTGGCTCAGATTATCAACATCAGCCAATCCAAAACCTTCCCATAGGAAAGCATTGACAGGCTAGTGTGCATGTATGAAAAAAAAGCAGCACTGCGCCAATCAGGTGGTCTTTCTGCTATTTCGCACAAGCCCCGCTTACAGCTGTCAATATGACTGCCACTAGAGGCAGTTTAACCCTGCAAAGAAAGCATTGTTTCCGTAGAATGGCAATGTTTTCAACTCCAGGGTAAAAACACAGGGGACTTGGAACCCTGACCACTTCATTGAGATTAAAGGGACACTGTAGGCACCCAGATCACTTCAGCTCATTGAAGTGGTCTGGGTTCAAACTCCACTCACCCTTAACCCTGCAGTGGTAATTATTGACATTTTATCAACTGCAATAATTATCTCTGAGGGTAACTCCTCCTCTAGTGGCTGTCTATAAGACAGTCACTAGAGGGAGTTCCGGAACTGAAACTGACTTTTGGTCCGTTATCTGACGCTGGACATCCTCACGCTCTGCATGAAGACTTGCAGCGTCAGATTTTCCTTAAAGGAAAACATTGAGGAGTGTGGGCGAAGCTGAGCCATGGGGACATCGGCGCTGGACCCAGGTAAGTGACTGAAGGGGTTATTAACCTCTTCAGCGCTGCGGCACAGGGCCTTGACAGTGGGGGATGCTATAGTGCCAGGAAAACGAGTTTGTTTTCCTGGCACCATAGTTTCCTTTTAAGCAGTCTGGGTGCCTATAGTATTCCTTTAACAATTGTCTGTTTAGGCAATATCATTGATTCAATTTAATTAATCTGGTCATAAAAATGATGTGTGCACATCTATGGAAAGGGACCCATTACTTCTGTGTATGCCTGGTAGGGCACTATTGGCCACCTAAACATTTACATCAGAATCTAGAACAGTTTTGTATGGTTTCTAAACATTTTTAGAGTAGCAACAAAAAAATATGTTCACAGTAAAAATGTATCAGTTGTTTTAAATGCAATTGATTTATATATGGTTCATTTTAATTTGTTCTGAAATATATTTGGTGCATTTCTTACACTAGCACTTTTCTTCATGTAAGACCAGTTGGCTGCTGCATTCAGTTGTCACGTGATCATTTAGTGCCTTATAAAAGACCTTGTACACCTGTGTAGACCTAGAATTGTCAGAGACCAGGTCCAATTTTTGGGATATTTAAAATAAATAAATAAATAAATAATAATAATAATAAAAATAATAATTGAACAATTAGAATTGTGAGGTCATTTTTTCAGCCTCTAGAACAGGAGTGTGTTCTAACAACCAGTCATGGCCAATGAGGGACACCCATGTAAAAGGTATAACTTAAGGAATAGTCAAGGAATAGGACTGTTCTGAGATAATTTTTTTTCAGTTTTATGACCAACAAGTATTTTTGTGTTATTGGTTGCAAGATGTTACCATCTAGAACTGAATAAGACATACAATAGAAGGGAAAAAAAGAAAAAGAGAGGGGGAAAAGCAATTCACAAATACTAGCTGACCAACAAGTTTACTGCAGTTTAGCATACGCCACAAATCTAAAATACACCATATTATTCTGTAAAGCTCTGTGCTACATGAATACAAACATACCTACAAGGGTGACCTCAAGTAGAAGAGAGATATCGATATGGATCAAAACAAGGGAACAATCGTGAAAGCACTCCACAAGCAGTTTTTATCCAGTGAAGTACTCCTAAAGTGACACGTATTAAAATAAAAGCACCTGAAACATCATTAGTCTTTGTGATGCCACAAAATTCTAAATTAACAGCGATGTAAAACTGGCTGCTTAAAAAAAAAAATACTAAAAGGGATGTTACACAGCACACTAACCTTTAGACAAGGTAAAACATTTCACTCCCAAAGTGTAAATATAAGTTTATCATCAAATTAAATGTATACCTGTCATGGTACACATGGTACAAATGAAAATACTTCACCAATACACCGTGCTAGCAGAATGGCTACCAGATGTACACATTGGAAGGGGGGAAATAAATCTATTAAAAAAATAGATCTCTCACCTGCCAGTCCTCAATGCCAAAGATCTGACTAATCTCCTAAAGGCATTTAGCATGCTCTCCAGGCATAGCAAACACAGAGCTAGAAGCATTGGCTAGAGAGTATAGAAACAGGGTAGCTCCAACGAAGCCTACATGTGGGCATCATGAAAGCTGAATTGCCCTGCCTGGGAAATGCAGGAGTGACCGGAAGCATATGTTACAGTATTTTGGCCATGGTTTGTAGTTGCTAGAGCTTATATTGAATACATAATTTACAGCTATGAAAAGTGCTGTATTTAGTGTCTATTGGGGGGAGACAGATGTCAGTTAAAGTGAACCTATCCAGTAATGAGAGGGTCACTTTAATATGCATCATGGAACTTCCACAACAGAATGACATCACCGAAAAGCAAATGAGGAACTGTGCTTTCCCAGAATACTTTATATATTTAATTGTATATTTCGAACCCTAGTCCCATCCCCCACATACCCACACACACTTATATGTGTTTCGGAGGTCTTAAAAATCTAAACTGTTGCTTTTACCTCGTCTGGAAATAAGTGCCTCCATCTTGACTCCCTAGCAATATTTGTTATATGCTCTGTCCTACGCATGTAGGTAAGCATAACGAGAAAGAGAAACAGTAACAGTAGGTTTATGTATAAAGAACAATTCTGGGGCAAGGTTCTAAAAAGTGGAATAATTACTATGGAAACCAATGGAATTTTCCTGCTTCCAGGCTCACTTTTAAAATACTGCCCCAGAAAAAATCTTTATACATAACCACAAATTTTGCAGTTTCTCCTGCCACAATGCAGATCAGCATTTGAAAAAGGTTGGTGTAAGCTATAGGTGCTTTTACATGTTTTATTCAATGGTGAAAAAATTCCAGAAAAATTATTGTTCCCCTTTAAAAGGTTACATAAATTATATAATTCTTCAGAAATGTATCTTCCCACTGCATGCTATCAACACAAAAAGCAAAAAAATGGGAATTTCAGAGAACAAGTGAGTTTTACATTAGTCCGTGCTGACAGGACATGTAAAATGGACTCACGGTTCACTGGACAAACACAGTGTTGGCACTGTACATTAGAAAAAGGTCAGCAGCTGTATTTGTAGCTATTGACAACAGTGCCAATCAACCAAAAGCACATCCTGTTCTTTTTGGTTTTTACTTCTCTGCATTCTATTTGATTTATCAATAAGGATTTGGATAAATTGGGGGACTGGGCAGATAGATGGTAGATAAGATCCAATACAGGAACCCACAAGCTACTTATGCATTAAATGTAGTTGAGTTAGGGATACCATCAAATGAAAAGGACTTGATAACAATTATAGATCACAAACAAGGCAACAGCACGCGATGTCAGTGTGCCATTGCAAAAGATAGTAAGGTACTGTCATGTATAAAAAGGGGTTTAATTCACATGCTGCCTAAATCACATGTGCCAGAGGTTCAACTAGTTCTCGGCACAAAAGCGCAATTTTCTCTGAATGTGCTGCTTTTCAAACTGAAACACTGCACATACAAACTCCTACAACCATAACTAGGGATCGACCAATATTGATTTTTTTTTTTGAGCCAATACCGATAATCTGTGAACTTTCAGGCTAATAACTTACCGATACCATTATTCTGTACATTTACCATTTTGAAAAATTAAACTATTTCTAAACAAATCTACTGTTAACTGAACATGTTTATTATTTTTTTTGCAAAACTTTTTTTTCATTAAGGTAAATGCACAAAATATACATGCCAGTCAGAATTGTTTATGTTTTCAAGATTATGTGTGTAGTGGATGCAGTGAGTGTGTTTGATTAGTGGAGGCAGTGTGTGTGTGTTTGTGTAGTGGAGGCAGTGTGTGTGTGTTTGTGTAGTGGATGCAGTGTGTGTGTGTTTTTGTAGTGGAGGCAGTGGATGTTTGTGTAGTGTGTATAGTGAATGCAATGAGTGTTTGTGTAGTGTGTATAGTGGATGCAGTGAGTGTGTAGTGTGTATATAGTGGATGCAGTGTGTGTGTGTAGTGTGTATAGTGAATATATAATGAATGCAGTGTGTGTATAGTGAATGCAGTGTGTTTGTGTAGTGTGTGTGTATATAATGAATGCAGAGTGTTTGTGTAGTGTGTGTGTATATAATGAATGCAGAGTGTATGTGTATAGTGAATGCAGTGTGTTTGTGTAGTGTGCGTATATAATACATGCAGAGTGTATGTGTTTGTGTAGTGTGTGTATAGTGAATGCAGTGTATATAGGTTTGTGTAGTGTGTGTATAGTGAATGCAGTGTGTATAGGTTTGTCTAGTGTGTGTATAGTGAATGCAGTGTGTATAGTGAATGCAGAGTATGTGTGTGTGTGTAGTGTGTTTGTGTAGTGTGTATAGTGAATGCAGTGTGTATAGTGAATGCAGTGTGTGTGTGTGTGTAGTGTGTGCATATAATGAATGCAGAGTGTGTTTGTGTAGTGTGTGTATAGTGAATGCAGTGTGTATAGTGAATGCAGAATGTGTGTGTGTGTAGTGTGTGTATATAATGAATGCAGAGTGTGTGTTTGTGTAGTGTGTGTATAGTGAATGCAGTGTGTATAGTGAATGCAGAGTGTGTATAGTGAATGCAGAGTGTGTATAGTGTGTGCAGTGTGTGTATAATTAATGCAGAGTGTGTGTGTAGTGTGTGTATAGTGAATGCAATGTGTAGTGTGTGTATAGTGAATGCAGTATGTTTGTGTAGTGTGTGTAAATAATAAATGCAGTGTGTGTGTGTGTGTTTGTGTAGTGAGTGTTTGTGTAAAATAGAGGGGACATTTTTATTTTTTTTACATTTCGTTTTAGTCCCCTCCCTGCTTCTGCAATGGGGGACCCGGAGTGGTCAAGGGGGGGCCCAGCACACTCTTATTTACCTTAACAGCAGCTCCCTTCAGCTCCCCTGTGTGTGTGCCACTCGGAGCGCTGCCATGGTAACGCTCTGACGGCCGCGAGACTCGCGAGAGTTAGACAGGGAAGCTGAAGGGAGCTGCTGGGAAGGTAAGTAAGAGTGTACTGGGGCCCCCAGGACCCTGATGTCAGTCCTGGTCTGCATTATTGGCAATATCGGTATCTTTGTAGGCTGATTCCGATATTGCTGAAAATTGATCCCTAACCATAACCACTTCTAAAAGCAGCAATGGTCGTAGTGGTTGGAGAAGCCCTTAAATAAAAGCGATAGAAAACAGGAAGAAAGGTTGGAAAAACTGCATTTGGGGAGGGATGTGATAACACTATACAAATATAAACAATGCCAGTACAAACCAGTATGTGCTTGCCTATTTGTTAGCATAATATAAAATAGACAAGAGCTCTTTTGTGAGCACTCAGACGAGGAGCTTATGTCTTTCATTTGAAAGTAGAGGAGGCAGAGAGTGGTGCCTGTGGAATCCCAGGTAAGAAATCAACCCATTCTAAAACAGTTTGACTCCTAACAATGGCGAGGGGGCACTTCAGGAAGTATAACCACTACAGTGTTACGGTGCTTGAAATGTTACTTTAAACAATGGGCCTATCTGGTGGCATCAAAAGGCACAATCTAAACAGTTGACCCTAAATGGTTTGTGGGGGGCAGGTTGCAGTTTTCGAGTATGTTTCTGGTTTGTTTGTTTTTTTTAACAGCACATTGCTAAATTTATTTACGTAAAATCATTATGATAAGCATCAAAACATTCTGCGGCTTGTAAATAAGATTTAATAGAAATAGCATCTAGCACATACAGCAAAGCTTTGGTATGCAGTACAAAAAGAAATACTACAGTTAATGGTAAATACTACAGAGTGCTAATTAAACTCAAATGAAATAAAGCTTTTGAATAGTTTTAAGCCTTTCACCACACTATCAAAACATTTGCTGCTAGATGTTCCTACAGCCTGGGCTCTAGAATCCCTTTCTTTTGTACATATTTACTAAGTCACAATCATGCCTGGCTTTTGGGGGCACACTTAAAGGGAAACTAAAGTGCTAGGACCACAAAACTATCCTGCAGTGCAGAGATGGTTAAAAACATTGGATTCCAGCGTTGATTGTCCCTCCACTCCTCTTCCTAACGCCAGAATCAAATTAGGATAACTACATAGAAAAGGTCTTAGGCGACGCTGGATGTCCTCATGCAGAGCGTGAGGAAGTCCTGCGACAGTTAGGCGACCTAATGACCAGGAAGCAGTAGCGGTCTGGTAAACAGCCACAAGAGGTGGAGTTAACCCTGCAAAATAAATATTGCAGTTTATCAATAACTGCAATAATTACAATTGCAGGGTTAAACGGACAGCAGTACTGCAATGAGCTGAAGTGGTCTGCTTGCCTACAGTGTCCCTTTAAACTAAAGGAATACTATAGTGTTAGGAATACAAATCTGTATTCCTAATGCTATAGTGTCCCTGTCGCTACCCTTTTTCAGGTCCCTCCCGCGTTTGCCATATAAGATAATCAAATGAATGATTTTACTTACCTTTTCCAGCGCTGAGGAGCCCTCGGCATGCTTACCTTTCCACATCCAGCAAAATAATGGAGGAGCCATGGCCTGAATGTCACAGAGGAGGCATTTCTTTTTAAATCATATTTAAATTTACCTGTAACCCAGCACTGAAGCAGGCTCCGCACTACACTACACGCACTGATAACTTTTGTCCAATCAATGCTTCTAATACGGCGCACGCAAGGCTATCGCAGTGTTCCCCCCATTTTAATGGTTTGGGACACGCACCTAATTAGCATGCTAATGCTGAACATCAGATTCAATTATTGAATAGATTTTAGCTTGATGCCCCTAAAGGAGTGCACTGTTTGCAACAGTGACTGAGCAGGGGCAGCATCTATGTCCCAAAAATCACTGTTTCAAGCTGAAGAGATTTTTATGAAATTCCATCCCAGAGCTGCTGGTCCTTTAAATTTGATGTCAGGTGCAGGTAATCATTGTGACAATATAAAGAAAGCATAAACATAGAGGAGGGGCAAATTAAGTTTTCCAAAATTCTCAATCGAACACTGAAATGCAACAATAAGTTCTACCAGATGATTTCTCAAAAACAAAACAAAGCTCTGCTGATTGGAACACTGAAACAACATGTGAATCATAGATCAACAATGCCATGCTCTATACTAGTTATTACACAGTTACAAAGATATATGGAATTGTAACATGTCTCCCAACATTGATGTATATGAAATCAGAACAGATAATGATGAGAGACTGCTAGAAAGGGTACAGGAGTGTACTTATACCAGGTATTCCTGCAGACAAGGTAACAAGGCCTGCTGACCTTCATTGTACTGCTGATTCACTCTGGCATGGGGAGAAATGTCTTGCACTGGGTGAACATGTTTAAGGACAAGCTTGGTCTGCACTTTTCTCTTTTCTTTCCTGAGGATAAACATCGGACAGCATAAAAGTGTCCAAATGTGGATGACCGCTTGATCTGCAACAGTTGGTTCACCTATTGCACATAGCAGGTCCCATTGCGCACAGGGATTGATGGAAGCACCATATATCAAATATTATCAATATCAAGATCTGAACTTATTAAACACCCATAATGGGTGAGAGTAAGGGGCTGTCATAAATTAGATACTTGTAGAAGTCTGGTCTGCAATTATTTTTTTTCTGCTTCAGTTTATATACTGTTGGGAATTATTTTACACTATACAATTAAAGTAAAACATTAAAATAAATATGCAATTGAGGGTTGTATAAACCAGCCATGCGTGACCCTTTATGTCAAACTGATTTAAAGAACAGATTTCGCACATGAGGAGAGTATTTAACCCATATCCAGCTGTGCTGAGGTCATCTTTTAGCACAACTTAGAAACATTACAGAATACTGGGATGAAAACTAACAATAGCCCATATGTCCAGGACAATTTCCCAAAGGAAAACACTTTTGTAAAGAAATCAATTAAAAACATGACTTGAAATCAGTAATTAAAATATGAATGCGTTAATAACTTTATTATGCTCAAACATGCTGGGATTTAATTTTGATGGGTGGGGGTTCACAGATTTTTGGGTGGAGCTCCCCAAATTATACAAGTCATCACCACCTAGAAGTCAATGTGATGAACTCCCAGTACATTTTAGCTTGCTCTTTTGCTAAGGCAACTCCTGGATAAGGAAGTCTGTCAATTTCAAAACAAATTACAACTGATTAAAGAAAAGTGTGAAATATGCATATGGTCACAAAATCATGGTGTGCATTTGCAGAAATTAACACTTTTCTTTTTGGCAGCATAACCCAAACAGACAGTAATACTGGAGGTAGTGGCACCATACAATAACACTATACAGGGGAAAACGTGTCATTGCATGTAAACAGAAAATGTGTGCCTACAAATAAAGCAATGACCTCCAGGGTTATACACTACAGTCAGAATTCAAAGTGAATTTTATTTTTTTTTAGGACAGAGTAGCTGAGCTGGAAGCGTGGCTAAAGTACATAATTTGAAATTCACGTTGACTTCTCACTGTAATGAATTACCCTGTAAGGCTTGTTTGTATGGGTAGCACACTTCGGTAAATCTGGATCCAGGTCCCTACATGAAAGCAATCACAAGGCTATAGGGTAATAAAGGGGCTTTTCCATACAAAGTGTGGCTAATTAGAGCCCATTTGCTGCTCACTTCCCCTACATTTAGACCCTGGGGTTGTGATGGCCAAGCTAGGGGGTTGGGGGTATTGGGAGCAGAGGACAGGGGGACAAAGTTGAAAGCTGCGATTAGAGACTGTCTAACTATCCTACAGCACACAGCCACCACTGGACTGCAACCCCCACTATCCTCAGACAGATTAGAGGGCGGGGAGCTGCGGCCCAGTGCAGCCCAAGGGAAGCAGATTGCGGAGCCCCGGAGTGTCTCTCTCACCCGGGATGTATGAGGTTTACCCGGCCCGGCCAGCAGCTAGAGCTCTCGTTGTCTCCGTTGTCCGCTCACACACAGCCTGTCCCTGGCATTGGCCACAGCGGGCACCGGGCTGGCTGTAACCCTTCACGGCCAACACAGCCACAAATCCGGGGCTGCAACTTCCTACTGAGAGCAGGGAAAAAGTCAAGAGGAAACACCCTTCCTCCCAGGCCAGAGAGGAGGCAGGAACCGAGCTCCAACAGGGGCCCCTCCTCCAGATCCAGCCGAACACAGACCACTCCTACCCGGCCATGTAACCTCACATCCTCCCTCCCAACCAGGACAACATCCCTGCTCAATCACTATGATGGAGTAATAGTGTAGCTCCCAGGGGCCCCACTGCCTAGCACGGTAATACCAGGCTGGCTCCCAGGAGCCCCACTGCTGGAGCACGGTAATACCAGGCTGGCTCCCAGGGGCCCCACTGCTGGAGCACGGTAATACCAAGCTTGCTCCCAGGGGCCCCACTGCCCAGCACGGTAATACCAGGCTGGCTCCCAGGGACCCCACTGCTGGAGCACGGTAATACCAGGCTGGCTCCCAGGAGCCCCACTGCCCAGCACGGTAATACCAGGCTGGCTCCCAGGGGCCCAACTGCTGGAGCACGGTAATACCAGGCTGGCTCCCAGGGGCCCCACTGCTGGAGCACGGTAATACCAAGCTTGCTCCCAGGGGCCCCACTGCCCAGCACGGTAATACCAGGCTGGCTCCCAGGGGCCCAACTGCTGGAGCACGGTAATACCAGGCTGGCTCCCAGGGGCCCCACTGCTGGAGCACGGTAATACCAGGCTGGCTCCCAGGGGCCGCACTGCCCAGCACGGTAATACCAGGCTGGCTCCCAGGGGCCCCACTGCCTAGCACGGTAATACCAGGCTGGCTCCCAGGGACCCCACTGCTGGAGCACGGTAATACTAGGCTGGCTCCCAGGGGCCCCACTGCTGGGGCATGATAATACCAGGCTAGCTCCCAGGGCCTCACTGCCGAGCACGTTAATACCAGGCTGGCTCCCAAGGGCCCACTGCTGGAGCATTATAATAATAAGTTGGCTCCCAGGGGCCCTACTGCCGAATACGGTAATACTAGGCTGGCTGCCAGGGGCCCCACTGCTGGAGCATGATACCAGGCTGGCTCACAGCCTTGAGACATTCCTGACCACAAATACGATTGTTTTAGAGCAGTAAAATGTATGACCATGATATCATCAGTGAAAGTGCTGTTTTTGTGTGAAACATGCAAAACTAAATATAAAAGCTAAGATTGGCCACAGAGTGCTACAAAGCGGCTATTAAAAAAAAGACTGGACAAGCCCCATTTGAATAGCCTGGGTTGTGTACTTTTGCAAATGTTATGCCATGATGGGGTACATTTTTATTTCTGGGCTGCAATAAGGCTTCAAGGGCAACATAGGCCTCGCAAACCAATCTGGCAAATTTCAATGTGTAAAAACTGAAAAGGGGGAAAGCCCTATATTTGACCCTGTAACTTTCCAAAACCCAATAAAACCTGCACATGGGGGCTACTGTTGTATCTGTGAGACATCTCTGAACACAAATATGTGAAATGTATTAAAGTAAACGCTAACAATAGTATAATATTCACAGTTAAAATGCCATGCAGAACTTGAGAAATATACACATTTCTTAATTTCTCAAAGTTTTTAGATAGAAACATAGAATGTGACGGCAGATAAGAACAATTCGGCCCATCTAGTCTGCCCAATTTTCTAAATACTTTCATTAGTCCCTGGCCTTATCTTATAGTTAGGATAGCCTTATGCCTATCCCACGCATGCTTAAACTCCTTTACTGTGTTAACCTCTACCACTTCAGCTGGAAGGCTATTCCATGCATCCACTACCCTCTCAGTAAAGTAATACTTTCTGATATTATTTTTAAACCTTTGTCCCTCTAATTTAAGACTATGTCCTCTTGTTGTGGTAGTTTTTCTTCTTTTGAATATAGTCTCCTCCTTTACTGTGTTGATTCCCTTTATATATTTAAATGTTTCTATCATATCCCCCCTGTCTCGTCTTTCCTCCAAGCTATACATGTTAAGATCCTTTAACCTTTCCTGGTAAGTTTTATCCCGCAATCCATGAACCAGTTTAGTCCCTTCTCTGAACCCTCTCTAAGGTATCACTATGCTTCTGAAGATACAGTCTCCAGTACTGTGTACAATACTCCAAGTGAGGTCTCACCAGTGTTCTGTACAATGGCATGAGCACTTCCCTCTTTCTACTGCTAATACCTCTCCCTATACAACCAAGCATTCTGCTAGCATTTCCTGCTGCTCTATTACATTGTCTGCCTACCTTTAAGTCATCAGAAATAATCACCCCTAAATCCCTTTCTTCATATGTTGAGGTTAGGACTCTATCAAATATTCTGTACTCTGCCCTTGGATTTTTACATCCAAGATGCATTATCTTGCACTTATCCACATTAAATGTCAGTTGCCACAATTCTGACCATTTTTTTAGTTTACCTAAATCATTTGCCATTTGGCTTATCCCTCCTGGAACATCAACTCTGTTACATATCTTAGTATCATCAGCAAAAAGACATACCTTACCATCAAGACCTTCTGCAATATCACTAATAAAAATAAAGAGAATGGGTCCAAGTACAGATCCCTGAGGTACCCCACTGGTGACAAGTCCAAGCTTAAGTATTCATATTATATTATGTTTATATATAAATTTCTGATGTGACATGAAAGCCCTGTTTATCCTGAACAAAATGATATATAAGTGTGGGTGTATTTAAAATGAAAGAGGTGAATTATAGTTGAACAGACAGTGCAAATTCTAGGTTTTGTTTACATTTTGTTTTGATCAGAACTTGTACAATTGCCTCCGTACTTAAAGGATCTCTTAGTAATGCCCAATAGGACATTTTAACTTAATATCTGAGAAGGATTACAGTAACCATTTAATGGAACACTATAGTGTTAGGAACACAGAACTGTATTGCTAACACTATAGTATCCTTGTTCCCCCGTGGCCCCCAGTTACACACGCTGGCACATACTCTCAGCTATACAGTGACACATACACTCAGATTAACACACTGATACATACACATTTATTAATTGGGAGTACAGTATATCTTAAAAAAGAAAAAAAAAAAGCTTGCAAAAGCTGCAAATCTCTTGTCAGCAACCTTCTCGAGCCTTCCCCTTTCTGTGGCTGTCCAATCAAAGATCCAATGTAGATCAAAGAGAGGTCTTTGCAAGGCAGGGGTTTTGAGAAAGTGTCTACCTCTTGAGTTTTGATCCACTGAGCTAAACTACTAGAAGTAACAGAACTGATTAATTGCCAGCCAAGAGGTTGTAACAAGTACCAATTTCTATTGTAATCTGCACTTTTTGTAAAATGAAAAAAAGAGTACACACGCTTCCCACAAAAAGTGCTTCAGCTTTAGGGGTGCTAAAATACAGTACTAAATACAGATTAGTACTAAAAATAGCACACACACACAAATACAGTTTTATATTTTACAAGGCTAAATATCACCTCTCAGCAGGGGCGTACCTAGAGCATTTGGCACCCGGGGCGGATCCTGTGCTTGGCAACCCCCACCCCCCCACCCCTCTCCCCCAAAAAAGAAAACTTTATAAAATGTTAAAGGTTTTCTTTCTTTTTTTTTTACAAGTAAAGTTTGCCGCCCCCCCCATGTTACATCACAATGCCCCACCCATATGATTTGCCATGTTAACTAACGCCAGTGCTGCAGTGCCACCGTGTTTACATTGAAAGGCCTGCAGGGACAGACTATAGACACCAGAACCACTACATTAAGCTGAAATGGTTCTGGGGACTATAGTGTTTCTTTAATGTGAGGTAAATTAGAGCTTAGTGCCACGAATAATATACTAGATTGCCTACTTACAACCAGATGAGGATGATGATGGGCTCTAGCTGCAGTCTGGCTCCACTGGTCGGGTGCAGAACAGGCTCTCTGGAGGCGGTTTGTAACTGTGGTCACAAAATCAATGTTCTGGGAGAACGGGAAGCAGCTCCATTTTTTGGGGGTCCTTTACACAGCTGGGTCCCAGGGTCCACCTTCATGTTCCACCAATGAGTTTGTTTACAGGGGGTGGAGTGTGTAAGGGATGTCCTGATATGTGTGTAAGGAATGCATTGTGTGAAATTGTGTTTGTATGTGTAAGGGCTGCAA